CCGAGCTCAAAAGATTCGCCATCACTGTTAGTCCAACCTAAAATCCAGAGAATTTTAAGAGACTGATATTCTGATCTCTTTGCTCCTTGTCTAATGTTCTTCCATTAATATATATTTAATAAGTTAACTAGAATGAATAATGCAGTCAACATAAACTTGGTCAATATAGTAGAGGGTTAGATAGTAAAGTTTCTTCAAAAAAGTGAACACAATAGGTAATAAAGTCAAAGAAAGAGATTTATTACCCAATTGAACTACATTTTACTACTTACCTATGCTGGAATTAGCAAAAGAGAAAGGGGACTTTACTCATTTTTTCCATTATGGATCTAATTTGGCAATTATAATATTGTATTGGGGGAAAAGAATTTTAAATTATAATTACCTACAGATAAACAATCTGAATCAACAAAAAAAGTTTATGTTGAATTCATAATGTGTGCTTTTTAGAAGTTAGACACCATTTCTGGTAAATTCCTTTATCTGATAGACAGAATAACTGATGAGTAGGGATGAACAATAGCAGAAGGGTCACAAATTCAACTTCCTTTGGATTCAGGTAGTGGCATATGATAGGAATAGGGTAGGAATTGTATTGAACTGGAGAACCTATGTCTTCAGTTCAACCTATATCTGATTCAGCTTCAGAAAATTGTTGCCATTATAGAAAACAATGGGCCCTGTACTGTTAACTCTTCCAATTATTGAAGACTTTAATGTAGCCCCACTGGCGTGGCTCAGTTGGTTGATCATCGACCTATGAACCAGGAGGTCATTGTTTGATTCCCAGTCAAGGCACATGCCCAGGTTGCAGGTTCAATCCCCAGGGTGGAGAGTGCAAGAGGCAGCCAATCAATGATTCTCATCATTGATGTTTCTCTCTCTCTCTCTCTCTCTCTCTCTCTCTCTCTCTCTCTCTCTTCCTCTCTGAAATCAATAAAAATATATTTTTTAAAAAGAGTTTAATGTAAAATCTATTAGATCCTAAATATTGGTAGTGGATTGAAAGTTTATAAACCAGATTTTTAAGTATTTTTAAGCTAGATTATCTATACAATGGGAATGAAAGACTTCTATCACAGAACTTTCAAACTTTAAAATATGCATTTATTTGATAACATTTGAAAAAACTACTCAGTCTTGCTCTAAAAGAGTTTAAATTTTAATAGTCAAAACATACCATACAAATCAATCACTATACTCTCACATAGTGTGTATTATGGATTATGAAGAAACCATTGTGGGAGTTCAGAGAAAGGACACTTTAAATTTATTAAATATCTAAACAGAAGTAAATCTTGGAATTTTACATTAGCAATAAATAAAAGCCAATGGAAATTTGGGTATCTAGAATAGCAATGATTTGCTAAGGAAATCGTGAAAGAAAACTGGGCAATTAATGGTACAATATGTGGTAAAGCAGCACTTCAGTGTCCCTTAAAATTAGTTATGCTATGAGTGGAATCATACAGCTCTGTGATTATAATGATTTGTAGAATGTATGTGTTTATACTACATGGAAAGCTGATACAATGGGTGTTATTCACATTGCTGAAAGTAACATTATAATATTCTTCTATATTAGGATTTTAAATTTACTTCATGCTTTCTATTAAAAATTTACTTTTTTGGAACTTTTTATTTTCCATGCATTCTTTAAGCAGCTTTCAAAAGTTATTAATAAAAGTTCTTATTAAATTGTTAATGAATAAAAAAATATTAAATTTGGTGAGAAAATCCCATCTGTAACTTCAATAAAGTATCCAAGAATATCGAACCTTAAAAGTGTTTATTTTTTATTAGCTGCCTTAGGACTACAAGGATTTAAGTGTTTTATAAAAACAATAAAAGAGGAGTAATTTGATGGTTTATTTACTCTTTATAACCTTTAGAAAGTGTCATGCTTTTTAAAAAGTGCTTGCTTCAGGCTGTAGTTTTACAAGATGGGCTGTGTATTGGTCAGACCTCTTCAATTCTTGACCCTGAACAGATTTAGGGACATAGTATGTACAGCAGGCACATGTCCAAGCAGCCAAAACTGTAACGGGTACTTTATTTTCTTTTTCAAACTCATAATCCACCTCCTACGAAATTGCCCAATTCAGTTTCTCATGTTGTCTAATAAAATACTAATCACTCTTTCAGATAGTTTCTTGGTTTGATTAGCTACAAAGTATTCTAGATTAAAAAATCTGATATATAGGGGAGAACCTAAAAGTTCATATTTTTAAAAACCTCTTTCCTAAGTAGTATTTAAACTACTGTTTTCATATTAGCCAACTTAATCTATTACAGTGATTTCTAAAATAGAAAAATATTAATATTAAAACATATACAGCAATTCTTAAAATTCTATTTTTCATTCAACAAATATTTCTAGTTTTTTTGACATGTTCTAACAAACAAGCAGAATATATTTACATGTTTAAAATAGTTAATATTATTTAGGGTGGTTTTCTAACTTTTGTGGAATATGAAGATTAAATTCTGAAGTTTTTGAAGGAAATATATGTGATACATATATCATAATCCATATTGTTCTACAGAACCCATGGTCTTTTAAAGGTAATATAATGCGTGTTAAGGAGACTCTGGAGATAGATCATCTAGGTTTACCTAGTATGTGACTTTAGGCAAGTTACTTATCCTCTTGCTAACCCAGTTTCTTCATCTATAAAATGGTGATGATAAGAATACTCACCTCATAAAATTAAACCTAAGATTAAATAAATCAAAAAGTGCTGACCAGTGATTCTCATCATTGATGTCTCTATCCCTCTCTCCCTCTCCTTTCCTTTCTCTGAAATTAATAAAAATAATTTAAAAAACATTCTACTTGATCATGGTGTATAATTTTTTAGACATTGTTGGATTTCATTTGCTAATATGGTATTGAGAATTTCTTTTTGTCAAAACTTCTCAGAGATCCTGGTTTTAGTTTAATTTTTTGTATTATCTATGTTTGGTTTTGGTGTCACAGTAAACAGGTCTTATAAAATGAGTTGCAGTGTGTTCCTGTTGTATTTTTCTGGAAGAGTCTGTGTGAACGTAGTGTTAATTTATCTATAATAATAAAAGCATAATACGCTAATTAGACCAGATGAGCTTCCGGGCAACCTTCCAGATGAAGCTGGGGCTGTGAGGGAAGCCCAGTTCCGGGTGCCAGAGGGAAGCCTGTGCCGGAAGCCAGCGGAAGGAAGGCCCACTCTTGCACGAATTTCATGCATCATGCCTCTAGTCTTGAAATATTTGGTAGAGTTCTTCACTGAAACCATCTGGCCTGGAAACTTCTTTATTTAGGAGCTATTAACTTAATGGTTGTAGAGCTATTTAGATTGTCTATATCACCTTGGTTGAGGTTTGGTAGTTTTATGGTTTTTGAAGAATTGGTGTATTTCTGTAACTTGTCAAATTTAAGAGCATGACCTTGTTCATAGCATTTCTTATGAACTTTTTAGTGGCTGCAGTATCTTTGTATATGGTTTCTTTTAGCTCTTGAGCATAGTTAAAATTGTTCATTTAAAGTCTTTGTCTAGTAAGTTCATCATCTGTAATTGCTCAAGGACAGTTCCTCTTCATTTCTTTCCTGTGTATGGATCACACTTTCCTGTTGTTGTTTTTTTTCCATGCCTTGTAATATTTTGTTTAACACTAGACATGACCCTTTTGAATACGTGGCAACCCTAGAAATCAGTTTTCTCTTTCTCACCAAGATTGCTGCTTGTCATTATTTGTTTTTGACATTTCTGAAATAATTTTGTAAAGACTGCAGTTTTTGTAATATATGGCTATTGAAGTCATCATTGTGCTTTTTTAGCTTATCAGCTTTGCTTGACAGAGATTTCCCTAAATACATGGGGCCAAAGGGAAAAAGCACACACCTCCCAGTCTTTGCAGAAGGGCTCCCTGTATGTGTGTGTGGCACACCTTCAGTACTCAACCAGGCAGTTTTCAAGTCTGCCTTTTGAAGTTTTCAACAGAAGCTTTAGATTTCTCCAGTGATACCTTGTGTTATGGTGTGGACTAATTCTGGAGTATTACATTATTTTAAACAGAATCAAAGGGGGTTTCTACATAACTGCTTCCTGTCTGGCTTTGGGCCTTTTCCTTTCCTTTGTGCTGCTTCCCAGAGAGTCTGTCTTTGCAGCTCCTCTTCTTGTTAGTGGGGGTGGTTATAGTAGGTGGGAGAACAGGGCCTTCTCTGATGTTCTTATTAAGGCTGATTATCAGGGTGGGGTCTTCACAAGAGTTTTGATCCCTCCCTCATATTTAATGCTGAATGTAGCCTGTATTCCTGCTCCTCCTAGAGCTGTTTTATTTTCCTAGCCTTCTTCTCTCCTACCTGCAGTGGGTTTCCACGGGTGCTCTCGTGCTGCAGTTTTTATTGCCCTTCCCTCTGTAGATTAGACTTTTGTTCCTTAGGGGAGATAAGGAAGGTAGAGTTTTCAGTTGTGGCTGTTAGTTCCCTTCCCCTGAGTCAGTTCCACTAGTGTCCTTAGCTTTAGTGCTGTTGTTGTTTTGTGGGTTTGTTTTGTTTTGTTTTTTGTTCTTTCCCCAACAGATTAAGGTTTTTGGTCTGGAGGGGAAATAGAGAAGGTGACTTATAATTGCTCTTTTTCCCAGCCAGTACCACCAGAGGAAGTGTTCTCAGGATTTTCCCCATCCTTCCCTGTAAGTATCTAGTGGGCTTCCTAGAAAAAAATAAAAATAAAAAAAGCCTGGTAGAAGGTATAAACTTCCTTACTTTGGGGCCCCTCAGGGGATTCACAATCTTACACTAGCCCACATTCTGTCTTTAGCAATTTATTAAGATCTTTTAGCTGAGGTTTCTTATCAGTACTCAGTAGTTTATGTCTCAGGTAAGCAAATTTGCAATTTGTTCAGTTTTTTTCTTGTTGTAAGGGTTAGAACATGCTCTTTTTATCTCTATAGAAAGAGCTAAAACTGGAAGATTTAAGGTCTTAATTTCCCTAACATCTTTCTTCTTCTTTTTGATGTAGGAAGCAGAAATTCAATATGAAGAGCAGATTGGTAAAATTATTGTGGAGACACAAGAACTTAAATGGCAAAATGTGAGTATATTTTTTTCTCAGATTAGCATTCTTAGCAATTGTTTTTAAATGTATTCTAATCTTTGATTGCAAAGTTAATTTTCTAAACATATTCAACATATTAAAGTTCCCACTAAAACTGTTAACATTTGGGCATCCAAAAAATTGAGAATAATTTTTATTCAGACTTTCTGATAAAATAACTAAGAATAATAGTGAGTATAATGCTGAAAACTGAACTATTTCACATCTGAGAAATATATTGTATGTTTTAGAGGAGTCAAAATATTTTTTTAAGAAGTGAAACCTCAGAACTGTACATGTGTTCCTAGGTTGTTGTTATATACTGTAACCAAATTTTTTTTTTATAAAAAGAATATTAGATCTGATTTTCTCTCTAGCCTTATCTATATTAAAAGCATTTTTATAATGCTTCTTGTGCCTTTCCACCAACGTAATCTTAACCACTAAATAATGAAAGATTAATTATGATGGCCCTTCTCACTATTTGGCAATATTGAAATAGGAACAGGAGGTAACATAAAAGAATCAGAATTCAAGCGGCAGAGGATAATTATTAAAAATTAGCTATGAGAATTAAAATATTTTAAAGTAATTGCTAACTTCTGGAGAAATAAAAGTTGTGTGAGAGTAGAAATGTAATTGTGATATGCTTATATGACTCTGCATTGAATAAAAATTACATAGAGTGTAAAAATACTATTTAACTTAAGCCACAATTTTTATATAACTGTTGGAAGAATAGAGGGAGGAGATGTAGGTTAATGACTGTACAAGAAAGCTAAACTATCATAATAGGAGATCAATAGATAAACTTTTACATTGTTTAATCAACATATATTAAGAGACATGGAGTCAAATAACAGAAATATTTGAAAGTGGTTGCTACTTTTAGGCCTAATAGTTTTAAATTAAGAGGATTATTTGATAAAAATAGAAGAAAAAATATAATGTTATCTTGAATCTGAAGGACAGAACATAGAACTTCTACCAAAAAGGGTGGGGAGGGAAGGGAAAAAAGAAATGGAATCATGTATGTGGATTTTTTTCAAAAATGCCCTGTGGTAGAGTAAAATCTCTGATATTTCTCTTAGCAATATTTTTTCTGCTATATCTCCTTGGGTAGGGAAACAAAAGAAAAAATAAACAAATGGGACTGCATCAGACTAAAAGTTTTTGCATAGCAAAGGAAACCATCAACAATGAAAAGACAACCTACTGAATGGGAGAAGATATTTGCCATAGTACAGTAGATGAGGGGTTAATATCCAAAATATATAAAGAACTTATACAACTTGACACCATAAAAACAAACAATCCATTTAAAAAATGGGTAAAGGACCCAAATGGACACTTCTCCAAAGTGGGCAAACAGTTGGCCAAGATACATATGAAAAGATGCTCAATGTTACTAATCATCAGAAAAATGCAAACTAAAACCACAATGAGGTATCACCTCACACCTGTCAGAATGGCTATCCTCAGTAAATCATCAAACAAGTGTTGGTGAGGATGTGGAGAAAAGGGAACCCTCATGCACTGTTGTTGGGAATGCAGGTTGGTGCAGCCACTGTGGTAAGCAGTATGGAGGCTCCTCAAAACATTAAATGTGGAATTGCCTTATGATCCAGTGGTTTCACTCCTGAGTATGTATCCAAAGAAACCAAAAACACTAAGTTGAAAGAATACATGCACCCTTATGTTCATTGCAGCATTATTTATAATTGCCAGATTGTGGAAGCAGCCCAAGTGCCCATCAATAGACGAGTGGATAAAAAAGTGGTGGTACATATATACAATGGAATGTTATTTAGGCATAAAAAGGATAAAATCTTAATATTTGTGACAGCATGGATGGATCTAGAGAGTATTATGCTAAGTGAAATAAGCCAATCAGAGAAAGACAAATACAGTATGATTTCACTTAGTGGAATCTAAAGGACAGAATAAACAAACAAAATTGAAACAGACTCATAGATACAGAGAACAAACTAATGGTAGCCAGAGGGGAGGGGAGTTGGGGGGCTGGGAGAAAAAGGCAAAAGGGTTAAAAAATACAAAATGGTAGTTACAAAATAGTCACAGGGATGTAAAGTACAACATAAGGAATATTGTTAATAATATTGTAATAACTATGTACAGTGTCAAATGGGTACTGGAAATAGCAGGGGGAACACTTTGTAAAATATATGATTGTCTAACCACTAAGCTGTACAGCTGAAAGTAACACAAAATAGTATTGAATGTAAACTAACTGAAAAATAAAATTAAAAATTTTAAATGCCCTGTGATAGCTATGGTTTTGTAAAAACTTAGTAGTATTTCATTGTATTTAAAGAATCATATGTTGCTATATGAACATTTGTGCCTAGATCATAAAATTGGTTTATTTGGCAATTCTAAGACTACAGTCTGCTTGTGTACAAGGAATGTTAATAACTTTTGATGAAAGATATTTTCTTGAAGAAAGCTTTGCAGCAAGCTATGTTTAGAGTTTAAATTTTAATAAAGCAATGTATCTACATTAATAAAAGGGAAACATGCAAATTGGCATCACTCTGCTACGCCCGCCAGCCAATCAGGATGAGTATGCAAATTAACCCAACAAAGATGGCGGTTAATTTGCATATGTAGGCGTGGAGCGAAGACTGAAGGCTCCGGCCCGAACGAAGACTAAAGACTGAAGACGACTAAAGACTGAAGAGGTTTGGCTTCTCCGCTGCAGCCGGAGCGAAGGCCTGGGTCCCAGGTGCTGGAGGAAAACCGGTGCCGGCAGCCAGGGGAAGGAAGGCCTATTGCACGAATCTCTTTGTGCAAGAGGCCTCTAGTAGATATATAAAAGCCTAATGACCCTTGTGACCAGTTGCTATGACACACACTGATCACCAGGGGGCAGATGCTCAATGCAGGAGCTGCCCACTGGTGGTTAGTGCGCTCCCACAGCCAACCTCCCATGGCCAGCCAGCCCTGATTGGCCCCGATCGCTGGCCAGGCCTTGGGACTTCACTCGTGCACGAATTCATGCACTGGGTCTCTAGTTTTATCATAAAGAAGCAGCTGGAAGCAAAATAATTGTTAGATGATTCCACAACAGTAAAAAAATCATAAAATTGGTTTAAAATTGCATTTCAAGAGCATGAAATTATATATGCAACAAATATACTTAACTTTTATTTACATAGTGAAGCCAATTAAAGTTTAAACTGAAAGAGTTGCTAGAATTTATGTCTTAACTTTTTATCATTTTTTAAAATAGGAAACTCTTCAGAATCAAAAGGAAACATTAACAAAGCAACACAAAGAAGCAATGGCAGTTTTTAAAAAGCAGGTAATTTCATATGGATAGACTAACACTATAGTATTAAATATAACATCTCCTCTTTATGAATATTATAAGCTGCTCTCCATACACACTGAAGACACACACAAAAACATATTATTGGAAGCAGGAAATGAATAAGGTTATTTTGAATCATAACATAATAAAGAGTATAATGTGGTAGAATGAGTTAGTTATGGAGAGAAATTGGGAAAACTATTTTCTTGTAGATGTGTTTTCATCTGTTCTGAATAAATCAGGGTAATGATGTGGGTGTTCTTTTTCTCTCCCTTTTCCCCTTCCTCTGTTTAATTAGAGTATTCTAGGATCTTACCCCTTTCAACATTACTTCTTTACCCAAGCTAGAATTGTATCACTGATGAAAAGCAGAGCTGCAAGTAGGGAGATGTAAAAGATGAGGGGATGTGATTATCATGCACTGAAGCCTCCATAAATATTAACCATCAGCAACTAAGTAAGACTAGTAGAAAAATAGAAAAAAAGGAAAAGAAAAATATTTTTAAAGAACCGAATAGCAACTCCTTTGTTATTTTGAATTCTATAGCTCTTTTTTACAACCTCAAATTTCTCTCTTCAGTCCCTAGTTAGAAAATATAAGTGTAAGAAATATGTTCCTTAAAAATATCCTCTGGAAGTGTTTTTTCTTATAGCCTTTCCAACATGACTTTTTAAAAAATTCATTCCCCCCCCTTTTTGTCTTCATCTCCATATAGGTGTGTTTAGAAAAACAAATGTATAAAAAGAAATAAACCTATACACTGTAAATCACTAGTGGGTTAAAGTCATTGGCAATTTATACTTTAGCATAGATTTATTTAGGCAAATGATAAACTTTTTTTTACTCTGAGATTGGCCTCATCAAAATTATGGGAGTTTTAATTGAAGGGTAAGGAAGCAGAAGCCAAATGTACATAGCACAATCTTCTTTAGGAGAGAGAGCAAGTGTTTGTCTCTGATATCACAAGGGACTTTGAGCTAGATAAGGATATCCAGGTATCTCAAGAATAGAGGAGAGAGTGCTCTGGGATTTTTATTTATTTATTATTTATTTATTTTTAAGGATTCTAGAATGTAACGAGACATATAGAAAATTAGATGGAGAAATTCCAAAGAAAAATTTCATTTCTTTTTTTTAAATTCTTACTGTTTAAAGGATACATATAGTATACATATGTCTCTTTTTCCCCAATGACTCTCCCAGCCACCCCCCCCCCAGCACATTCTCTCACTTCCCTACTGTCTGTGTCCATTGGGTGTGCTTATATGCATGCATACAAGTCCTTTGGTTGATCTCTTACCCCTCCACACATACCCTCCCCTGCCTTCCCTCTGAAGTTTGACATCTGTTTGATGCTTCTCTGTCTCTATTTTTGTTCATCAGTTTATGTTATTCATTATATTCCACAAATGAGTGAGATCATGTGATATTTATCTTTCTCTAACTGACTTATTTCACTTAGCATAATGCTCTCCATGTCCATCTATGCTGTTGCAAATGATAAGAGTTCTTTTATACAGCAGTGTAATATTCCATTGTGTAGATGTACCACTGTTTTTTAATCCACTCGTCTGCTGATGGGCAATTAGGCTGTTTCCAAATTTTAGCTATTGTAAATTGTGCTGCTATGAACATAGGGATGTATATGTCCTTTCTGACTGGTGTTCCTAGTTTCTTGGAATATATTCCTAGAAGTAGGATTACTGGGTCAAACTGGAGTTTCATTTTTAATTTTTTGAGGAAACTTCATACTGTTTTCCACACTGGCTGCACCAGTCTGCATTCCCACCAGCAGTGCACGAGGGTTCCTTTTTCTCCGCATCCTCTCCATCACTTGTCATTTGTTGATTTGTTGATGATAGCCATTCTGACAGATGTGAGATGGTATCTCATTGTCGTTTTGATTTGCATCTCTCAGATGATTAGTGACTTTCAGCGTGTTTTCATATGTCTCTTGGCCTTCTGTTGTCCACTTTCAAAGAGTGTCTAAGTCCTTTGCCCATATTTTGATTGGATTGTTTATCTTCTTTTTGTTAAGATGTATGAGTTCCCTATACATTTTGGAGGTTAGACCCTTATTAGATTTGTGCACTTGGGGGGGTCAGACATCCCTCTGGCAGCCCGGCAGCCCTTGAGGGGATGTCCACTTTACAGCAGAGGAGCAGGCTAAGCTGCAGTCAGACATCTTTAGTGCTGCTGAGGAGGCGAGAGAGGACTCCCACCACCACCGCTGTGCTGGCAGCCATCAGTCTGGCTTGTGGCTGAACAGAGCTCCCCCTGTGGGAGCGCACTGACCACCAGGGGACAGCTCCTGCATTGAGCATCTGCCCCCTGGTGGTCAGTGTGTGTCATAGTGATCAGTCATTCCCAGTCGTTCTGCTGTTAGGGTCAATTTGCATAATACCCTTTTATTATATAGGATAGAGGCCTGGTGCATGGGTCGGGGCCGGCTGGTTTGCCCTGAAGGTGTCCCGGATCAGGGTAGGGGTCCTGCTGGGGTGCCTGGCCAGCCTGGGTGAGGGGCTGATGGGTGTTTGCAGGCTGGTCACACCCCCTTCAGAGTGGAGGTTCCCACTGGGGTGCCTGGCCAGCCTGGGTGAGGGGCTGGTTGATGGCTGTTTGCAGCTGGTCACACCCCCTTTAGGGTGGGGGTCCCCACTGGGGTGCCTGACCAGCGTGGGTGAGGGGCTGATGGCTGTTTTCAGGCTGGCCACACCCCTTTTAGGGTAAGGGGTCCCCACTGGGGGTGCCTGGCCAGTCTGGGTGAGGGGCTGAGGGCTGTTTTCAGGCTGGCCAAGCTCCCCGGTGACGGAAGCTCCCAGCCTCTCCTTTTTTAATTTATTTTTTTATTCTGGGATTTATCTTCTATAATTGAAACTTTGTTGCCTTGAGTGGAGCTCAGAGCCGGCCTCAGCTGGCGGGAAGCTTGGCTTCCTCCATCACTGGGGCAACCCAAGCCTCCTGCTCGCTCCAGCTCCATGGCCATGGCCGGCTGAAAGCAGGTATCTGGGGTTTATTTACCTCTATAATTGAAACTTTGTTGCCTTGAGTGGAGCTCAGAGCCGGCCGCAGCAGGCGGGAAGCTTGGCTTCCTTCATCACTGGGCCATCTAAGCCTCCTGTTTACTCTAGCTCCATGGCTGCTGGCCGCCATCTTGGTTGGGTTAATTTGCATATAGTCGCTCTGATTGGCTGGTGGGCGTGGCTTAAGGTGTAGCGAAGGTACGGTCAATTTGCATGTTTGTCTTTTATTAGTGTAGATAACATTGGCAAATATGTTCTCCCATGCAGTGGGCTTTCTTATTGTTTTGTTGGTGGTTTCTTCAACTGCGCAGAAGCTTTTTATTTTGATATAGTCCCATTTATTTATTTTCTCCTTAGTTTCCTTTGCCATAGGAGCTGTATCAGTGAAGATGTTGCTCAGACACAACTTTGCCTAATATCCTTGCAGTGCTTAGAATATTTAACTAGTTTTTTTTGGAAAGTTTACTTTAGTTTTCCTGTTTTAAAAAGTCATTGTTTATTATACTATTACATGCATTTTTTAAATTTTCAGGATATATTGTCAATGCAAATACAAATGGTATTTATTTCATAACAGTGTGCCCTTAGAAAATGTTATGTTATTATTTATGAGTAGATAGCAAATTACTGAAGTATTTAAGAAAAAACTTCTGGAGGGCAAAACTAAACTTTCAAGAATGATTGTTGTCTCTAAATCATTTCCTTTGTTGACTGGCTTTTTCCTTCCATTCATGTTTTATTATTTATTTTCTCATTCATTGTAAAAGCATATTCACATTTTATCAAGTTCAAACAATAATCATGTAAAATATATCTATAATCTCACTGTGTAAATCACTGTTATCAGTTTACTTACCTGTGTTTTAATCTTTATAATTGTTTGTAGTTGCAAATGAAGATGTGTGCCTTGGAAGAAGAAAAGGTATTAATTAATTTTTTAACAATTTAAAGCATGGTTAAATGTATTTAAGTATCAATTGTTGCCATAATGGAAAGGAGCATTAGTAATACACTAATGGAAACTGTTAATTGCTGAAAATCTTAGACACAGTAAGAACCCAAGGGAATCGTGTTACTTGACCACTGTTATTTTGCAGTTGAGAACATTGAGACCTATCAAGACTTGCTGAAGTTCAGTATCCCATTTTGAAGTGGTAAAGTTGGGACTAGAACCCAGATCTCTTCAGCCCCCAAATTAATGCTATTTCCACTCTACTGCAATTAAGTGTAATATTTTTTAGTGCTTTTTAATGCAATTACCTTCTTTAAAAAACATTAAAATGATTGTCATCCGGGTGCCAACCAACTGGAAAAGAGGACACAACTCCAAACAGTCCTAGAAATTCATCTGGCATTAAACATTTTTCCTAGCTATCTAGTAGTTAATACATGTTTTGAGTATGTCAATGAACATATCACTTATATTAATAATTTATGGTTTGTTATTTTTAGCTAAAGACCTTCTTTTAAAAATTCTCCCATATCCTTAAATTTATAAGACAAATGTACCTGTATTTTGTTAATTAGAATATATTTATTCTAGCTATATGAATTAAATACTTAATTATACAGTATTCATAAGTTCTCAAGAATGGTGTATTGATAAAATTTGTTGTTATAAGATTTTTCATTTCATGATATTTATAATCTCATAAACGACTTACTGTAATTTTACAATGTTTTGAAGTCTTTAGAAGTTTAAGTTGTAGTGTGGATACAAGTGTAAAGCCTGTGAAGTATTACGTTTACAGTGGAGAGTTTGGTTCTTAAGCTCTTATATTTCCACATTAATAGTATTATTTACATAGGAAAATACTGAAATATAGTTTTTTACTTAAAGGGAAAATATCAACTTGCTACAGAAATAAAAGAAAAAGAAATAGAAGGATTGAAAGAAACATTAAAAGCATTACAGGTAAAGTAATAAGTATTGCTTAAAAAGTAATTTGGCATTTTAGCATTGTATCAGTAAAATATCCTTAAACATGTAAGCTAGCAATGCAAAGCTAATAAAAAAAATCACCTATGATATATAATATATAATTTAGTACTTTTTATCTTAGAATCTTGAATTTCAAATTAGAAAGATTTTTGCTTCATTTTTTATTTTAAAAAGAAATATTAAAATAACTTTCATTATTTTTCATAGTAATATAATTAGATATATATTGTTTTTAATACTTTACAGATTAAAGTATTAAAGGAAAATAAGTCAGGCGTGTATACTATGACAGATTCACCCATGGTTCCTAAAATTTTAAATAACATTGAGTCATTATTACTTGCTAAATAATATGGTTATTTTCTGTAAATACAAAGATGAACAAAACATCACATTTGCCTTTAAGTTGTTCACAGTCTCAGAGAATACAGAGGTGTACAACTAATGATGATTTTATATATATATATAGTCTATGTGCCGAGCACTTTTCTAAGCACTGGGGATACAGCAGTGATTAAAAAGGACAAAATCTCTGCCCTGGTGCACTTACATTTTGATAGGGAATACAAACATTAAAATTAGATTAAAAAGTAAATTAAAGATTATTGGAGGGAAGATATTCACATGATTTCAAAATATCATCCTATAGATAACATTAACTACAGAGAGCAAAATACATTTTTACAGTGGAAGGATCCTGGTAGTCACTACCTTAATCAGGTAATTCACACCATAGTGTGGACTTGTTTAAGCAGAGTTAGGTGATACCTCATTGTGGGTTTGATTTACATTCCCCTGAAGGATCCTGGTAGTCACTACCTTAATCAGGTAATTCACACCATAGTGTGGACTTGTTTAAGCAGAGTTAGGTGATACCTCATTGTGGGTTTGATTTACATTCCCCTGATGATGAATGATGTCGAGCACATTTGCATATACCTGTTGGTCATGTATGTGTCTTCTTTTTTTAAAAAATTATTTTATTGATTTTTTTACATGGAGGAAGGGAGAGGGATAGAGAGTTAGAAACATCGATGCTAGAGAAACATCGATCAGTTGCCTCCTGCACACCCTCTACTGGGGATGTGCCCGCAATCAAGGTACATGTCCTTGACTGGAATCGAACCTGGGACCTTCAGTCCGCAGGCTGATGCTCTATCCACTGAGCCAAACTGGTCAGGGCAATGTGTCTTCTTTTGAGACATGTCTATTCAGGTCCTCAGTCCATTTTTGAATTAGATTATTTGTGTTTTGTTTTGCTAGTGAGTATATGAATTCCTGACATATTTTGGATATATTTGCAGATGTTTCTCTCATTCTATAGGTTGTGTTTTCACTCTGTTGATTATTTCCTTTGCTGTGCAGAAGCTTTTTAGTTTTATACAATTCCACTTGCCTGTTTGTTTTTGCCTTTGTTGGCCTAGACCAGCGGTTCTCAACTTGTGGGTCGCGACTCCTTTGGCGGTCGAACGACCCTTTCACAGGAGTCGCCTAAGACCATCCTGCATATCAGATATTTACATTACGATTCATAACAGTAGCAACATTACAGTTATGAAGTAGCAATGAAAATAATTTTATGATTGGGTCACAACATGAGGAACTGTATTTAAAGGGCCAGAAGGTTGAGAACCACTAGACTGTTGTCAAGAAGCTCTTTTCCCATTTTTTTTTTCTTCTAGTAGTTTTACTGTTTGAGATCCTATGTTTAAGCCTTTAATACATTTTTAGTTGATTTTTGTAATAATGCAAGATTTTGTGTATGGTGTGAGATAATGGTCCAATTTCAGTCTTCTGAATGTAACTATCCAACACCGTTTTTTGAAGACTGCCCTTTCCTCACTATGTATCTTGGCGATCTTGTTGAAGATCAGTTGGAATAGATGCATGGATTTATTTCTGGAATCTCTATTCTGTTCCATTGGTCAAGATGTCTGTTTTTATGCCATTATCATACTGTTTTGATTACCACAATTTTGAAATATATTTTGAAGTCAGTTTATTCATCTTGCTCAAAGTTGCTTTAGCCGTTCAGGGTGTTTAGTGGTGCAATATGAATCTTAGGATTGTTTTCTTCTATTTCTGTAGAGATTGACATTGAATCTGTAGATCACTTTGGGTAATAGGGACATTTTAACAATATATATATTTTTAATCCTCACTAGAGGATATTTTTTCCATTGGTTTTTAGAGAGAGTGGAAGGGAGGGAGGAAGTGAGGAAGAGAGAGAAACATCGATGTGAGAGACACATTGATTGGTTGCCTGCAGCCAACCAGGGATGGGAATAAACAGAACAGGGGTACATGTTCTTGACTGGGAATCAAACCCGAGACCCTTTTTGGTCTGTGGGCTGATGTTCTAACCACTAAGAAACCAGCCAGGACTATTTTAACAATATTAATTCTTGCATCCATGAACACAGGATGTCTTTCCATCTATCTGTATCTTAAAATTTTCTTCATCTGTGTTTCATAATACTCAGTGATCAGTCTTTTACCACTTTGGTTAAATTTATTCCTAAGTATGTTATTTTTTTATTGCTATTGTGAATTCAGTTTTTAAAATTTTATTTCCTTTACGGTTATTTTGTGTGTGTTTTGTAGATAGAAAAAATGTGGCAGATTTTTGTATGTTGATGTTGTGACCTGTAGTTTTAATGAATTCATTTTTTAGTTTTAACAGTGTATTTTTTGTTGTCTTTAGAGTTTTCTACATATATGAACATGTTATCTTTAAATAGAGTATTACTTTTTCCTTCTAATTTCGATGTTTTTTTTTCCTTGCCTAATTGCTCTGCCAAGGACTTCTAGTACTGTGCTGAATAGAAGTGATGAGAATGGGTACCCTTGACTTATACTGAATTGATTATGATTTTTACTGTGGGCTTTTTATAGATGGCCTTGTGTTTACGTAAGTTCCTTGTATAACTGTTTTGTTGAGAGATTTTATTATGAATAGATAATGAATTTTGTCAAAGGCTTTTTCTGCATCTATTGAGATGAACATGATTATTTGTCATTCTGTTAATGTGATAAATACCACATCGATGGATTTGCTATGTTGGACTATCTTTGTAGCACAGGGATAAATTGCACTTGTCATGGTGTACTATCCTTTTAATATGCTGTTGAATTCAGTTTGTTAGAATTTTATTGAAAAATTTTGCATCTATGTTCATCATAGATATTGGTCAAAATTTTTTTGTCTTGTGGTATCTTTGTCTGGCTTTGGTATCAGAGTTTCAAAATATTTTTGAGCCACACCAGCCAGGGCTGCAGCTCCTTAATTGTACTCTATAGCTCTTCTAGGGCTATATTTTCAATTGTAGGTAGTAGTTAAAGTGTGTGTGTGTGTGTGTGTGTGTGTGTGTGTGTGTGTGTGTGTGTAAGTAAGTAAGTGCTGGGACCTCCTAGTCTTGCTATCACTCCCATGAATTCTTTACATTTCTCACAAATAAGCCCTTGCTGTCTGTGTTCTGAGCTTCAAATTGTTACTTTTTTCTTTCAATTTCAGAGAGAGGAAGGGAGAGGGAGAGAGGGATAGAAACATCAATGATGAGAGAGAATCATTGATCAGCTGCCTCCTGCACTCCCCCCACGGGATGGAGTCTGACCGGGAATGGAACCATGATCTCCTGGTTCATAGGTCAGCACTCAACCACTGAGCCATGCTGGGGCGGGCCAGATAGTTTCTTCAGTTTGTCATTTGTATTTTGATTTTTGTTTAATTTTTGCTATTAATTATTTATTTTTAATGACTTTTAGGCTTTGTAATGGTTAGAAAGGCTTTTACCACTACAAAGTTATAAAGGGATTTACCCAGGTTTTCTTTTATTACTTCCTATGTACTAAAATTTTACATTTCATCTCTGTTGACTTGAAGTTTATTTTTGTAGCAGAGTATGAGATATGAATCTAAGTCTGTATTTTTCTAGATTCTTATCCAGTTGTCTTAACATTGTTTAGATTCTCCCTATTTGAGATGTTAGGCAGTTTTTATTTTGGATTTCTTTGTTGCTTTGATGTAGCAAAGTGAATAAAAATTAAGTACAACAAAATGTCAATGAGTTCCAAGAAGAATGTTTTCAGTAAAAATAAGGGAATGGATTTCATGCCTCAGATTGGATGATATTAGTGATGTAGTAAAAAATCCTTTGTCTTGCTTCAACAACAACACAAAAGTAGGACGTGATTAAAAACTCCAGGGAAAATAGATTACTGTATAATTAAGGCATAAAGCGTATTAAAATTTGGGATGGTTTTGAGCAGATGATGGAATATAAGAAGAGAGAAGGTAGTTAGGTCCTGACACTAGTAAAATTATCCTTCATGTAGCATGTTGAATCTGTATGTAGAGAAGGAAATGTAGTATTAGCCCCTTATGGGGTTCTGCATTAAACAATGTTTATATTGATTGCCATAACATAAACACTGTTGGCTTATCTTTTGTATAATTAACCTTTAAATAAAGCATGGAAAACTTAATTATGGCTACAGAACAAAACTTAAATGTTACTAACCTTGTTGATTAAAAAGTGTGGTAAAGTGAAGTTGAATCCAATATACAGAAATATTTTTTAAAGTTGATGGAACAAGAAATACAGGATTAAGTCTCCTGTTTACAATTATCAGCTTGTTCAAGGCAGTGTGCTAAAAAATTCATTTCATAGGAAATATGAAGTAATTATTGTATTTTTTCTTAAAATTAATAAATATGAGCAGGATTTAAGAAAATAAGCACTCATACATGGCTAATTGAGGTTTAACTTGGTTAACTACTCTGGAGGACTATGTAAAATTGTTAAAAGTCTATAAAAATGAACAAAACTTAGGGATTCAGCTCCTTGGAATATATCCTGCTAAAATGAATAACTATGCAGTTCTTGGTTCAAGCATGTTTATTTCAGAATAGTTTCATAAAGCTGTAAACTGGATAAACTAAACAAAAATGAGAGTGATGTGATAAACTATGATATAAATGTGGAATACTATGTAGCCATTAAAAAGTTATGTTGTAGGCTCACTTGTCACAAAAAGGTGTTTGTTATATATTAGGTAAAAATAGGGTACAAAGTAGCACATATATTATTATTCCTCTCCCTTCTGTCTCTCTTTTAAAGTATAAATGCATAAAAAGTATCTGTTAGAATAAAAATATCAATGATTACAATTGCTGGGTTGTGAGATGATTTGTTTAAAACAAGTTTATCCTCTTCCTGTTCCTAATCTATTTTTATCAAATTTTCCTATTCCCAATCGATTTTTATCAAATTTTCTTCAATGAAGAGCTAATAATAAATGACAGACTCACCTAGACTGCTCTTGCTATTCCTCTTGCTTTATTTTTCTTTATAGTAGTTGTCACTCTCTTAACTTCTGTACTTCTTACTTATATTTTGTCTGTCTATCACTATCTCCACTGGACATAAAGCTTATTAAGTAAAGGAAGTTTGTTTTGTTCACTGCTGTATCCAAGAAAAGTGCCTGGCATATAGTAGGTGCTCCATAATATGTGCTGAATAAATAAATGAATGTATTGCTTTGCTAAAAGGAAGAAAGTTATGGTAAATAACATTTAAAAAAATGTCACTGGAAATAAATAGTGCATGGAAGGTAAATGGCACATTTCATAGCATTCAGTTTTATTATCAGGAGGAATTTGTAACTAGTTAATTTTTTAAAAAATTAATGAGATTTTCCACTTGTTTTCAAGGTTTCTAAATATTCTTTACAGAAGAAAGTGAGTGAAATGGTAAGGAAATTACAAAATATACACCCTCCCCCAGACAGATACATAATGTGCATTGTACTTTTATCAATATAAATGTGAGTCAAAAAAAGGTTGAAATTGGATATTAATATCTTCTTTAAATGACTAAATTACAAAAATCACTTAATCTATTTCACAAATTTATTTCCAGATTACATAGTGTTTACATATGATAAAATAAATTTAATACAGGTTCTGTAGTATTGGTAGAGGTTTTATGTTAAAATAAAACAAAGAAATAAGAACAACAAAACCTTTTAAACATATCTTTTCTAGGTGTTTATACAAACATGAAGTTATTAATTATAGCCTGAAAAATAACAATAACATGATGTAGCATTTGAATACAGCACTTGGGGTATGGTATCCATCCTTTATCATGCAACAAGTGTTTGTGTATTCCTCTTCTATAGCATATTAAATGTCAATATTTTCATTTTTACAGCATAACATTTTATGAAATACTTACTTTGATATTCCCTTTTTATCCTGGTTTGATTCGAAGGATTTACTTTTGTATTTTTGAGTAAGCAAAATTCTCCTATATCAACTTAAATCTTCAAAGGGCTTCTTTGGTGGGTTTACCCTATTTCAGTCTTCCTTCTTTGGAGCAGACCATAGGGCAAGGAAAATTAATTTTTGAGTAAAGTTTATATATTATATATAAATGAGAAGTAAGAAATGAAAGGTTATCCTTCGGACATTAAATACAAAACAAAGTATTTTCTCCTTGAAATTGTTTTGGTGTGTTAGAAAATAAAAGAGCTATAGAAAGATTGCTAAGCTTGATTAAATAAAAGATGTGAAAATTGTGTCACTGTTCAACTGGAAAGAATAAAGATAATATTGTCAGACTGTTTTAAACTATTATTTTAATTAAAAAGCTGAAAAACTAGATTCCAGTTTAGCCTTAAGTACCATGACATTTGTACTGAAAGTCATCTTCAACGCTACAGTGGTTTTACACAAAATATAGTGAAATTGAATAATGTGCCCTCTGACCTGAGAGATAAGGCTACAAGTTAAAGAGTAAAAGCAACATAAAATGTGTTTTATTTATTCCACTTTAAAATTTCATCAAACAGATATTCATAATCTTAAAAAACCATGGAAACATGCAGTATACTTATAGTTGGCTTTGGCCACTTCTGAGCATTTTGTTACTATGAATTACAGCCTCTAAAGAATCTACTAAAATGATATTTGAGTTATAGTTATATTTTTTCTGACAGTTCAAAGCCTTCAATCACTTTGCCTTAAAAAACTTTATATAGAGAGATGTACATTTAATATTTATGCCCATTATGGCAGAATATTGTATGTTTTGAGATAATTGATCTTAAAGTTAAATATAGTCTTTTTTTTCCTGAAGATTCTTACACTCTTCTTTTTACATTATTTTTATTTAATTCAGATGAGATATTTTTTAACAAGGATATTTTGCCACTTTTATTTATTTTTATAGATTTTTAAAATTGATTTTAGAGAGGAAAGGAGAGAGAGAGAGAAACATCGATGTGAGAGAGAAACATCGATCAGTTGCCTCCTATACATGCACTGGGGATTGAACTGGCGACCTTTCAGTGCACTGGACAGCTGGCTCAACCAACTGAGCCACATCAGTCAGGGTCAGATGATCTTTTCTTTATTTAAAGTGCTATGCAATATTCAGTACTTCAGTTCATCTTATTTTATTTAAATTAGTACATTTATATTATTTGACTCTATGGGCAAGACAGGAAGCAAGATGGTCACTGTGTCAATGTCGGACTTTGGGGAGTAATTAATAAAGTTGTGTGCTGAAAGAAATAATTTAAAAAATAGTATTAAGAAACTTTCAAAGAAGTTTATGATCTTCTTTTGGTGAGCCCTTAACTACTACTAAGTTTCTGTCTTTTGTGGATTCAATAAGCTCGTTTTTGTGGAGTTTGTCTCTAAATTAACAGAGTTATGAATTGAGAGATGCATCTATTTCTAAAGGTACTCAAATCTTCTTTTGAACAAAGGATCACATTGATTATTACTAATAAAAAGAATGCAATAAAACATGATAAAAAACAAACCAGAGAACATCTGAATAACTGTCATTGTGATTCGATCATTGAGGTGACTATGTTGTAATGAGTAGCTAATAGAGCTTAATGAATGAAGTAAACATTTATCCAACCATCTTTTAGTTATATTTTATTTATTTTTGTATATCCCTTCCCTCTAAAGAAAATACTTAGAGATTTATTTTTCTTTATTAAAATAAAGTTTCAGTATTGAAGATTTTCACCCTGACCAGTTTGGTTCAGTGGTTAGAGCGTCATGGGTCACAGGTTCGATTCCAGGTCAAGGGCACATACCTTGGTTGCAGGTTCCCCAGCCTCCCTAGCCCTGCATGCAGGAGACAACCAATTGATATGTCTCTCTCACTCTCACGTCCATGTTTCTCTCTATATATATCACCCTCTCCTCCCTCCCTCCATCTCTCTCTAGAAATCAATGGAAAAAATATCCATGGGTGAGGATCTTAAAAAATAATATTGAAGGTTTTTATATGATTTAGAATTACCACATATTTTCTTTCAGAGTCGAATATTTTTAGACTGAAGACTTGTCTGGAAATAATCTTCATAATTATAATGATTATGTATATCAGTACACACATACAAAGTATAAATTTCGATTCTTTAAGTAATATACATATCTTATTTTTGTGACTAAGAAGGTATCCTACAGCCCTCTCATCAGAGGGTTTTCAGAGCAACAGCTCCTTCTCTCACCTCCGCATGTAACAATAAAGCTGTGTGTATGTGTAGAGAGAAACTGAAAAATAAGACAGATGGTTCTTTCATTACCAGGTTGCTTTGGATTAATTGAACTGGACATGTTATTTTTTTCAAGGAGACGGAGCTGGATCCTATGGATAACCAGCCATGAACTACAGTAATGTAATAGGTGCTGCTGGGTGTGCTGTTGGATTTTTTTGTTTTGTTTTTGGCAATTTCATCATTCTGTCAAGTATTTTGGGGACAGTGCTTACAAGTGAAGGAGCAGCACAACCTTTGTCTTGGATAATTTCTAGTGGTACAACGATTGGGCAGACAGCCTCCTGAAGCTCCAGCACCCTTACCACATTCTTCATCTTAAGGAACAGAGGGCCTTTGGAAACGGATTCCTTAAAAGTGCAGGAGAGCCAGCCATGAGAGGCTACCTCATGGCTATATTCCTGAGTGCTGTCTTCCTCTATTATGTGCTGCATTGTATATTATGGGGAATAAATGTCTATTGTGAAGCCGTGGTGTTGAGCATCTTTGGGATATAACTTTCTTCATATAATATTTCATCTCCTTCAACTGATGGAGTGATTCTTGAACTCAGAGATACTCGACCTTTCTAACCTAAAATGCTTGGATAAGAGATTGTTTGATAAATGTAGATACTACATATGTTTTCCTTTGTTGAAAAATATTTGATGAATGATGATATTTGTATATTTTAAAACAACTTTGAGTTAGAATGTCACATATAAAACTTAGAAGAGGTAAAAAAAAAACACAAACAAAAAAAAGAAAGTATCTTACATATGCCATAAATTTTTTAAAAGTGAGTTTTATAATCCCATTGCTATATTGGGTTTATATTGAAGAAATTGAAAGGTAAGTTGCAAAATTAGAAATGAAGAATATATGAAGTTTTTGTTTTTTATCTTTTTCTCTAAGATTTACTTATGTGTTAGGTGTCCCATGGGAAATTAATTTTATTTTGAAAGGTTTTCAAATCAATCTTCATAAGGAAATGAGAAAAGGGATAAATGAGCTGCTATACCATTTATTAGTAAATGTAGTTCTAAAAAGTTGCATGTAGAAGTCAAGACAGTCTCTTCAATAAATGGTGTTGGGAAAATTGGACAGATACATGCAAAAAAAAATGAAACTAGACCACCAACTTACACCATACTCAAAAATAAACTCAAAATGGATAAAGGACTTAAACGTAAGACGGGAAACCATAAAAATCTTAGAGGAATCCACAGGCAGCAAAATCTTACACATTATGTCGTAGCAATATCTTCACCAGTACAGCTCCTAGGGCAATGGAAACTAAAGAGAAAATAAACAAATGGACTACATCAAAATAAAAAGCTGCTGCACAGCAAAAGAAACCATCAACAAAACAAGAAAGCCCACTGCATGGGAGAACATATTTGCCAATGTTATCACCGATAAGGGTTTAATCTCCAACATTTACAGGGAACTTATACAACTTAACAAAAGGAAGATATACAACCCAATCAAAAAATGGGCAACGGACCCAAATAGGTACTTTTCGAAAGAGGACATACAGAAGGCCAAGAGACATGAAAACATGCTCAAAGTTACTAATCATCTGAGAGATGCAAATCAAAACAACGAGATACCATCTCACAACTCAGAATGGCTATCAACAAATGACAAGTGATGGCGAGGATGCGGAGAAAAAGGAACCCTCGTGCACTGCTGGTGGGAATGCAGACTGGTGCAGCCACTGTGGAGAACTGTATGGAGTTTCCTCAGAAATCTAAAAATGGAACTCCCATTTGACCCAGTGATCCCACTTCTAGGAATATATTCCATGAAACTAGAAACACCAATCAGAAAGGATATATGCACCCCTGTGTATATAGCAGCACAACTTACAATAGCTAAGATTTGGAAACAGCCTAAGTGCCCATCAGCAGATGAGTGGATTAAAAAACAGTGGTACATCTACACAATGAAATACTATGTCGCTGTAAGAAGGAAGGAACTCCTACCATTTGCAACAGCATGGATGGACCTGGAGAGCATTATGCTAAGCGAAATAAGTCAGAGAAAGATAAATATCACATGATCTCACTCATTTGTGGAATATAATCAACACCATAAACTTATGAATAAAAACAAATCCAGAGACAGAGAAGCATCAATCAGACCATCAAACCTCAGAGGGAAGGCAGGGAAGGGTTGGGGGGAGAGATCAATCAAAGGACTTGTATGCATGCATATAAGCATAACCAATGGACACAGGCACTAGGGAGGTGAGCGCACGATGGGGGGTAGGGAGGCAATGGGGGGATAAGGACACGTAATGCCTTAATAAAAAGTTGCATGTAAATATTTTTAAATGATTCCTATTTTAAATGCCTTGAGGCTTTTAATTAATGTACACACACACACACACCCCTACTCCTTAATTATGCATGTTCTAGCTTTTCTTTCTTTAACCTTGATTTTCATAGATTAAGTTTGTTTAAAATGAGGTACACATGTACTTGGAAAGCAATTAATCCTAGCATTATTTTCTTGTGGACAGATTCTTTGCATTTAGTAGTAAAATGATGTAAAAGAATAAATAGCTTGAACAAATTCACAAAGGTAAAAAGAACAATGTACTTAGCTATTTATGTACTTAGCTATTTTCTAGTCATCTCAATAAAATAATCTTTATTATGGTATAATATGTGATATTAAAGTTTGAATAACACAAATTTATTTGTATTTTTTAAAGTGTTCTTAGGTTTCTCAGGCAGGTGTTACCAATCCATTTTTTTGTTGTTATTTCCCAAAGAATTTACACTATTTGCTGACAGTCATGCAGTTAGTGGCAAACTTGACAACTGGCCTCTTCATCTCACTATCAAGACAGCCCATGAGATTCATGTATGAACAGTTCCATATAGGCCTGTATGGGCTAATAAGCTATAGGAGCTCATATGGTATTTAATGTGGCTATTGAATAGACCAGCGGTTGCCACTGGTGGTCCATGAGGTCCAAAAGGTTGGCGACTGCTGGTTTAAAGAAACCTTAGAGCAGCAGTTGCCAGCCCGTGGTCCGCGGAGGTCTGAAAGGTTGGCGACCACTGGAATAGACTAATGTGTGAAAATAAGAATCATGTCATGCAAACAAATGAAACTGCATTTTAATTGAATTCAACTTTGGCCTCAAGGAAAGGATGTTGGAGTAGAGAATATCATAAATTAATGTGTGTATAAGAGCTCTGTATGTAGAGAATATCTATGAAATCACTTGATTTTTGCCGCATTTTTAGTTAATCAGGATTATTAACGTTTGTAGGCATTAACAGCCTATTTTATTCACCACTTTTTCACTGAAAGTTAAAGAAGTCTGCATCAATATGTAGGGGATAATATTCTCATAGAAGCTATGTATAAATTGATTTAAGTTGAAAAATTCCTTGCATTGGAAAAATGTCTTTAGACCGGTTTTTTGGTGGAATTGTCTGAGGTTTCTTCATATCTGCTGAAAGCAAATATAATTCTCTGGGTTAGAGAATTAAGTGGTATTTTAGAGGAATGAAATGTGGTTCATTATTGTTCATTGTTCAGTTATTGATAATAGTGACTACTCAGGTAGGCATAAGATCTCAGGAGGTAAGTACACTTGTCAGCTTGTTTGCTTTGATAACTGCTGCACAATTCACTCAAATGACTAAGTAGTAAATTTGAAAAGATCATAGATGTGCATGAGAAACTTTCAACTGATCTGTCATAATCATTATCATTGATATTATCACTTTGCTTAAAATCATTAAAAAGTGTCTTTGAAAAAGTTAAAATTATCAACAAATTTTCCAAGATAATTAGTCAGATACAACTTAAATTGTAACGTGTGTTCTCTATTAATATTGGGGCTGTTCTTATTTCAAGTAAAAATTAAAACTATAAAGATATTTTAATCAGTTAAGGAATAATAATAAAATACTGTGATGTACTTATTATGTGACAGTCCTGTTCTTGGTGCCTTATATGTATTATTTTATCCTCACAGCAACCCCTTGAGGGAGATACTATAACAATCTTCATTTTAAAGACAGGGTATATGATTTTCCCAAGGTCATACAGCAACTGAAATACAGAAGTACTATTTAAACATAGGTGGATTATCTTTTGACCACTCTATACTGCCTGTCCTTGCTTTTTAGCAGAGATAGTTCTAGTTAACTTATGCAAATGGAGACTTAGTGGAGGCCCTCACAGTAAATCAGAAAGTGAAGAATGGGCTTGAGAATGAACAGTGAGCAGGATAATTCCCGAGTTTGTGAAGCAGGAGGTAGGAACCCAGGAGAGAAGTCTCACATCAGTCTGGATGGGATCGATCATCACTGAACTTGTTTAGTGTTATATTCTTTATGCTCAAGATTTAAATTCCCAAAAGGTAGAAATCAATTGGTTTATTTTGGGTAATAAGGTAGGCCCTTCACTTGACTAGGGAAAAAGAGGAGCCCTAAATTTTAGCCCTACTAGGTTGTAATGAGGAAAAAAATATTTAAAAAAAAATACTTGAAGTTGTGTTATTGTTGGGTAAGGGAGACAGGTTGCCAGGCAAATTTAACAAATTTCCACTGTTGGAACTCTATGGGGTTAATTCAGAAAATAATTACTGAGTGCCAGTCAATTGGCCTACACTGTTCTCTATCACTGCTCATTATAGAAGCTGAAGCATGTGGCAAAAATGAATGAAAGTTGTGATGCAGTAAAAGCAGTCAATGATTCTGTTAATGCTAAGTCCAGATCATGACCTTTAAAAATGTTATTGATTCTATTAAAATAACATTTTTCTTTAAAATGTAAAGTCATATTTCAAAAGTATGGTAAAAACAAACTCCTTTAGCTAAAAGCATGAAGGCCCATACTGTACGTAGAGTCCAATTTTTACCAATTATATCTCTCAGCTTAAGTAGACTTTTTACTATACTATGTTGCCTCCCTGTCACTAATAAATATTATCCTCATCATTTTAATTTTTAATGCAATGAGAAGGTGCTACACTCATTAAAACTAATCTCAGAAAAAATGCCTGAATTTTGATCATAACACATCATAATTATGCCAGCAAATTTAGAGAAAAACATTTTTCCTAAAAATATCCTATCTAATAAAGACAGAATATGCAAATTGACCATCACTTCGTGACAAAAGATGGCGGCACCCACAGCCCATAAGGAGGGAATATGCAAATTGATGGTGGCGGCCCTGCCGGGACACTTGCATCGTCGCCATGGCAACGACGCAGGCATTCCACCTCGCCCCGGCTGCTCCGGGCCTCTGGGCAGTGTGCGAAGGCGGAAGGCAGCTCCGGGCTGGAGCGAAGGAGGAAAGGCGGCTCTGGCTGGAGTGAAGGCAGTTCCGGCTGCCAGGGGAAGGAAGGCCTATTGTTGCATGAATCTTTGTGCATCAGGCCTCTAGTTGCTTTAATATTTCCCCCATGTTGCTTAGTAGACTGCACTAACTTTTCAATAAATAAAACCAGTTGATTTTTAAATAATATTTTTTTATTGATGTCAGAGAGGAAGAGAGATAGAAACATCAGTGATGAGAAAGAATCATTGCTTGGCTGCCTCCTGCATGTCCCCTACTGGGCATCAAGCCTGCAACCTGGCCATGTGCCCTTGACTGGAATCTAACCTGGGACTCTTCAGTCTGCAGACTGACACTCTTATCTACTGAGCCAAACCAGCTAGGGCAACCAGTTGATTTTTGAAAAAGGAAACTGTAAACAAGAGAAATATAATCATAAGTCACTGTTTTGTTACGGGGGAAAACATGCTTTAATTTTATATAGATTTAGAAATATCTGCTAATATTTCCTCCCTATGGTATACTCAATACTTTTTCATGACACATTTATGTTAATGACAGGTATTAAAAACAATAACTTTTTATATGTTTAATATATATGTCTGCATATTTGTATGTGTGTGTTACGTATGTATAACATTTAAAACAACTCTTCAAAATAGGAACAAAAACTCCAGTTACAGCTTCTGGCTAAAGAAGATCATCAGAAGCAACTGAATGAAATTGAGAAATACTATGCCACAATAACAGGGCAGTTTGGATTGGTAAAAGAGAGTCATGGAAAGTTAGAACAAAATGGTAGGTGCTGTCTTATTTAAACATATATTTAATAGGAAATGTTTAAATGGACTTATTTATAATGAATAAATTGAAGTTAACTGAGATTAGTAATAGTGAATTTTATTAAATTCAGTAATAATCATACACATTGCATTGAGGCTATTTTCTTGTCCATGTTAATGATATATTCTTTAAAATGTAAATTGAATATAATATTTTCCTAAATGTCTTTCATGTTGCAGTACAGGAAGCAATACAGTTAAACAAAAGACTTTCAGCTTTAAATAAAAAACAAGAATCTGAATTATGCAGTTTAAAAAAGGTATGGCTGATACAGTGTTATAGTATTAAATAAAATTATAGTCAAATAGTTTTATAAAATATTACTAGAAAATTTTTGATAGTTTTTTATAAATAAAATTTTGAATACAGGTTCATAAATTTTTAGTTATGATTCCAATAAATGTAATGAATAAGTTTGTTCTAATCTATCTGAAATATTGTTTGACTTGTCACCAGTGGCATGCATTTTTCTGGTAACATGAGTAGCCTATAAGCATTCACTATATGTCATTTCATTCATTCAATCAATACTTGAGTGATTCATTATGCCAGGTATTATGTGGCACTGAGGATACAGTATGAGGAAAACAAAACACATCCTGCTTTTTTGAAGTTTATAATTTAGTGGAGGAGCTGGACATAAAACAATCACATAGATTAAATAATTTTAAACTGTTATAAGGGATATGAAGAAAAAGTAAATGATATAGACATTATAACAGGTGACATTATTACATTGGAGGTAAAGGGGTGAGGAAGGGAAGAGAATTAAGTTTTCAGGCAAGAGAAGCAGCATATGCAAAAGCCTTGAGGCAGGAAAGAGTTTAGTTTATGTGAAGAACTAGGAAAAGTGTGGTGTGGCTGGAGCATCACAAGGGAAAGAATGCATTGGATATTTATTGATTGCTGACTGAGCATCAATATCCCCTTACTTGACATCTGTACATCTTCTTTAGTGAGGTGCCTATTCAGATCTTTTACATGTTTTTAATTGGGTTGTTTATTTTCTTATTGTTGAATTTTAAGAATTTTATCTATAGTTGGGTAACAGTCCTTTATCAGATGTGTCTTTTATAAATATTTTATCCCACTCTGTGGCTTGTTTCCTCCTCTTGACATTGTCTTTTGCAAAGTAGAAGCTTTTAATTTTAATAAAGTCTATCTTATCACTTATTTCTTTTGTGGATTGTGCCTTTGGCATTTTACCTAAAAAGTCAGTTATATACAAGGTCCTCTAGATTTTCTTCATTGTTCTAGGAGTTTTATAGCTTTGTATTTTACATCTAGGTCTATGATCCATTTGAGTTTTTGTGAAGGGTATACAGTTGTCTAGATTCTTTTTTGCATGTGAATGTCCCATTGTTCCATCACCCTTTGTTGAAAAGATTATCTTTGCTCCATTGTATTTTCTTTGCTCCTTTATTAAATACTAGTTGATGGTATTTATGTGGGTCTATTCTGGGTTATCATTTCTGTTCCACTGACTTAATTGTCTTTTAAAGTCTTGAAGCTGGGTAGTATCAATCCTCTTACACTGTTGAATGAACTGTTCTGGGTTTGCCTCTCCATATAAACTTTAGAATTAGTTTGCTGATATCCACAAAATAATTTGCTGGGATTTTGATTGGGATTGTAATGAATCAATAGATCAAGTTGGGAAGAATTGACATCTTGAAAATATTGGGTCTTCCTACCAATAAATATTTAGTTTTTCTTTGATATCTTTCATCAGAGTCTTGTAGTTTTTCTCATAGATATTTTATATTTTGTTACATTGATACCTATATATTTCATTTTGTAGGGTGCTAATGTTAATGGTAATGTGTTTCTATTTTCAAATTCAACTTGTTCACTGTTGGTATATAGAAAAGTGTGAGGTAATAGAAAATATATGTATTGGTCTCTGCCGACAGTTCCTGGCACAGAACTCTTAAAACCCTTGTAATGAATGTTCTAAGTGATAGGAGCACCTTTTGTTCTAATGAGGTGACTCTGGGTGGGCTCCTCAATGGGGGCTGATCACTAGAATGACGAAGCCATGCTTAGAAACTTGAAAATTTCAGCCCTGTTCCTCCATACCACTCACTTCTCCAGAGAGGGGAGAGGGGCTAGAAAAGGAGTTAATAATTGATCATGCCTATGTGAGGAAGCCTTCATAAAAATCCAATAGTATGGGTTTTGGAGAGCTTCCAGGTTGAACACATCCATGTACTGGGAGGGTAACACACCCAAACTTCATAGAAACAGAAGCTCTGTGCTTGGGACCCTCCTAGATCTGGCCCTGCGTATCCTTCATCTGGCTGTTCATCTGTATCCTTACTATATCCTTTGATAAGCTGGTAAACCTAAGTGTTTTTCCTGAGTCTGTGAACAACTCTAATCAATTAATCGAACCCAAGGAGTGTGTCCTAGGAATCTCTGTTTGTAGCTGATCAGTCAGAAGTGCTTCAACTTGTGATTGGCATCTGAACGTTTTCTTTTCGGTCACATCCTAGAATATTAAAAATGGCTCTTTTACATATGAAGAGGAAAAGCTGCAATTTGAAAAATTTGTCTGTAGTCTCAAATCAAAAAACATTTAGGACCACTAATTTTTGTCAGTATAAACTTCAAATGCTAAATACTCGCTGAGTAGTTGTGTTTTCAGTGATCTCTCTTTGGTTCGTTTATTTTTGATTTAATATTTTTGATCAATAACTTAAGCTATTAAATAATTAATTTTGATGACTATATTAAAATATTAATTCAATTAGCTTTTGCATTATGAAAAGATTATGCCTCATAAATTTCCATACTAAATTATGTATTCTTTACTAGAGACAAATGTTTCTTTATAACATAATAAACTATTATATTTCAAATGTATAGTTTAAGACTGACCTGTAGATGGAGACGAGGCTCATGTAAATCTAAGGAGAGATAGACGCCTTAGTGGATCTATGTAAAAGGATGAAAATTGTCTCTTTTTAGGCACAAGTGAAACTGTGTCTCATGAGCATGCTTGTCCTTTTTCCCCAGAGGAGCCTGGGCCAGGGCTACCAGATTGTACTGTGTATCATGCCCTGGTGGCCTCTGTCGCTCTAGAAGCATTACAGTTAGTGACCATGCTGCCAAAAAAGTGAGAGAATTGTATTAACTTTGAGAGTTCCAAATCCAAGTAGTTGAAAGGATGATAATTTAAAAATATATACATTTAACAGACAATTTTTAATATTTCAAACAATCTATTTATAAAAATTTTGTATTTTTAAAAGTAATCTTGATTTTTAACTTTAAGAAACATTCTTGTCTTTTTTTTATTTTCCTTTTCAGAAGCTAATTAAGTTTAGTAGCATTGGTTATATCACTTATTTAAAACTTTTAACCATTAATTGCCCCAGAGATAATTTTATTTTTATTTTATACTGTTTTGTGATTTTGTCCAGAGCATTTAAATTATTGGTTTGTGATAAGATGGGATTCTATCTTTGTGGAGCAAAGTTAAACAGACGAAACTTAGTTGTTAGATTAAAGTAGGTATTCCAGGTCTGAATGCTGGGTTCACTATTATGGCCATCATGAAGAATTCCCGATACTATCTGTGAGCAGAATTCATAACCTCTGCTGTTTGTCTGAGTAAACGTCAGAGCACTCAAGGAGATAGTGATATTTAACAGACTACCCCATACCAGGAAAGGAGGGGAAAAGGAGAAAAGGGCACAATATTTATGACTCTAGGAACTATAAGTTGTAATTTAATGAGATCAAAGCATGTGCTGTTTATTTGCTGCACTTACAGTTTTAAATAAAATGGTTAGAAAACAGACAATACTAAAAGTTCAGGATATTTAAAAGCTATAAAGGCTATAAAATCACAAGCATATTTTCAGTGGAAAATCATTTCATGGAGGTCTCTTAATTTATTATGCTCTTAAGATTAAGTAATTAATATATAAGAGAAGAAGACATAAGCAGTTAGTTTTTACTTTTGACAGTCATATACTAGGTTTTCACCCCACCTCCCCCTTCCCACATCTCTGTTGTTTCATAACAATGATTGTAATAGGAATTGATGCACTTTAGAGAATCTCCTATGAAATTTGGCTGATAAAACAGCTCCATGTATTTAGTTGTTGAAAAATGTAGCCTTTTAAAAATTGAAGTATATTAGTCAAGTTTCTCAATTGTAAGATGATTTTGTCAGGAAAAGAATTTGGATGTTGGTCATCTTAGACTCAGAAACAAGGGAAGCTATGCAGTATCCAAGACCACAGCATAAAACCAACTTCCACTACTGAATACTGTGCCCTGCAGTTTGTATATCACTGTTGACCATAGTGGGAGCTGCTACCTGCTGCAATGGTATCAATGTTTTCCATGGAAGCTTGAAGTTCCTAGCACGTACCTGCTGTCTACCAGCAAATGGATTTGCAACACTTCTTGTTCTTTGTTATACTAGTTCCCAATCCAGTATTCAAGACAGGTGCATCTGATCAGCAGAGCCTGGTCTCATGCTTATAAAGCTGACATTTCTGACTTCTCTGGTGGGCTCTTATATTGTAGAGCTCCTAAAATCCAAAGGGAGTTCAGATCCTGTGTAGTCAAAAATGTGAAAATCAACCCTAGCTGGTTTGGCTCAATGCATAGGGCGTCAGCTGGTGGACTGAAGAGTCCCAGGTTCGATTCCAGTCAAGGGCACGTACTTTGGTTCAGGTTCTCCGGCCCTGGTTGGGGTTTGTGCAGGAGGCAACCAATCAATGTTTCTCTCTGTCTCTCCCTTCCACTCTCTCTAAAACATCAATGGAAAAATATCCTCGGGTGAGGATTAACTAAAAATTAAAAACACTTAAAAGAATGTGAAAATCAGATCTTTGAGTATTTAACATAGGCAGCATACAGAGGACAGCAGTAGGGTAAGTACACAAGTAAGTACACAGGTATAGTAAGAGAAGTTTTTATTTCAGGATTTTATGTATTTGGATGGTATCTGTTAATCTCAGTGGACATGTAACTTCACAAATTAAGGCTTCTTTTATATTCTCTTCAATTCTATCCTGTACTATGAGGCCAGAATTATTTTTCTAAAATGCAAATCTTTTTATATTGTTCTATTCAAAATCTTTCAATGGTTAATTCTTCATTGCCTGTAGGATAAAATTAAAACTCTAGTTTGGCTTGCAAATCCCTTTCATTAAATATTTGGGTTCTGCCAAATTTCTAGCCACTGTTACCAATATTCTACTCTTCCCCCTTAACTATAACATGTGAGTTCTAGCCATATCATATTAATTTTGTTTCCCTGAAAAATCTTCCATGTTTCTGTACATTTTTGCATGTAGAATATTTTTGCTTGGAATATCTAATCCTTTTTTGTCTTTGCAAATTTATCTTTTTTTAAAAAATATATTTTATTGATTTTTTACAGAGAGGAAGGGAGAGAGAGAGAGAGTTAGAAACATCGATGAGAGAGAAACATCGATCAGCCGCCTCCTGCACATCTCCTACTGGGGATGTGCCCGCAACCCAGGTACATGCCCTTGACCGGAATCGAACCCGGGACCCTTCAGTCCACAGGCCGACACTCTATCCACTGAGCCAAACCGGTTTCGGCTGCAAATTTATCTTTTAAAGACTTAATTCAACTACTACTTTTCTATGAAATGCCTTCTTGATGCCCTCAGCCAACTGTGTTCTTCATGCTTCTCTGCATTCCGAAATATAGCACTCATCACATTATATTGTAATTATTTCTTACACAAATTTTTTCTTATTAGATGCTAATGAACTTGGGAATTTAATCATCTCTTTATATCAGAAGATTTTTGTTGGATAAGTAATGAAAGAAAATATTCTACTTATGGTTGGTTAGTGCATTTAGTTACCATGCTCCTTTTAAGAGCAAAGATCATGCTTTCTTCCCCTGTGTCATTGTGTTTGCATATTCCATAGTCACTAATAATGTTCTCACCTTGGCTAATTACCTTGCAATAGAACTAGGGGAAATACACCTTGTTGGACCTGGGAGTAGTATCATCTTGATATATGAAATATTGTAAATTATACTGATAGGTTTAAAATTGGCTTTTAAACTGTCAGAAAAGTACCTTGCTTTGATGAAATATGCATACTGAATTTTTTGTTTCATGTTTCTTAAGGAACTAAAAAAAGTAACCTCAGACTTGATAAAGTCCAAAGTCACATGGCAACATAAGATGGGAGAAGAAAACATCAATTTAACAATTAAAGAACAAAAAATTCAGGAACTTCAAGAAAGACTCAACATGGTATTTAATTGATATATTCATGATTATACCAAAATGTTCCTTCTCTGTAAAGTTAATATACATAGAGAAAACAGTAGTATGAATCTTTTTAATTATTAGATTTTTGCCATTATCAGCAAGGCTTTAAGACAATAAAATTTGGTCATAGTAATTTTCTTTGCACTTTAACATGGTGTCCGATTATCTTAGGGCAGTGGTCGGCAAACTCATTAGTCAACAGAACTCATTAGTCAACAGAGCCAAATATCAACAGTACAACGATTGAAATTTCTTTTGAGAGCCAAATTTTTTAAACTTAAACTATATAGGTAGGTACATTGTTATTAACTTAATTAGGGTACTCCTAAGGCTTAGGAAGAGCCACACTCAAGGGGCCAAAGAGCCGCATGTGGCTCGCGAGCCGCAGTTTGCCAACCACTGTCTTAGAGTATAGTGGTGTCTTCTGAAAAGTTTTTGGAGATGAGAAATTCTGTTAATTGAACATGGACATGTATAAGTCTGTGCCAGCCTATATTGGTTATATAATACCATCTTCACTAGAGTCACTGCTTCAACAGCAGGCAGACGTTGGCACTCATGACCCACCGAAATTTGTTGAGCACTGAATTGAATGTAGAATTTGCTGAATTTTCTATCATAACATAAAATTGTTCAAATTTTTTAAGGAATTGGAATTAAATAAGAAGATTACAGAAGAGATTACTCATATTCAAGAAGAAAAACAGGCAAGCAATCATAAGATATTTTGGAAGTCAGTAAATATTTTTAAAACCAGATACAATGTGGGAAATAAATAACAGATGAAATCATGCCTAAGTCAGTTCCTAGCACATAGTGAGAGCCCTCAGTTAGTGAGTATTAAATGGAGACATATGCACATTTTGAGCCAGGTCTCTTACATACTCCCATTAAATAATAAATTGGGTCCTGGATGGTTTGTGCAGTGGTTAGAGCATCAGCCCAAGGACCAAAAGACATATACCTCGGTTTCAGGTTCTTCCCTGCCTTGGCCTTGGTCACATTGGATGTTTTCCTCTCTCTCTCCCTCCCTATTTCCCCACCTCCCTCCCTCCTACTCTTTAAAAGTCAATGGGAAAAATTTTCCTCAGGTGAGGATTAAAATAAATAAATAAATAAATAAGGAGATATGGGGAGATGTTCATCAAAGGTTACAAATTTCTAGTTATAAGATGAGCAACTTCTGGGGATTTAATGTACAGCATGACTTTAGTTAACATACTGTATTATATACTTGAATCTTGCTAGGAGAGTAGATCATACATGTTCTCACCACACACACACACAAAATGGTAAAATTATGTGAGCTGAAAGAGATGTTAACCTTATTGTGGTAATAATTTCACTATACTGGTATCATATCATTACCTTGGACACCTTAAGCTTATACATTGTTTATGTCAATTATATCTCAGTAAAATTGGAGAAAATATTACATTTAAATATTTTTAAATAAATAAAGAATGAAAATAAATCAGTTTTTCCTTGATATTTTAGACCATGATACTCTGGCAGATAATTATTGAAATGTATGTATGCTTAGAACATATGTTTATGGGATAGTATACTCATTTAAATATGTATTTATAATAATCTTCTATTTTTTTAAAAAATGGTATATGAAAGAAAACTCCTGTTTTGTTTTGTTTTTCTATCTTTTGCTTTTCCTCCATGATTCTGAATGCATTCCATGGCATCCTAGGCCATTGGTAATATGACATTTTAGTAGGGATATGTTTACTAGTTTGGGGGCAAGCCAACAAAAGTTTTAGTCTTGAATTCTTCACATTTTGCATTAGTGTCTCAGAATCCATGGTCCATTTCAAAGAACTTTAATTATTTTGAGGAACTCTTGGAAATGGTACTTTGTAAAAAATCATGTAATATAAATTCATTCAGATATTAAATTAGTAAAATGTGTCATTAGCTTTTTTCAGTATATTCTTTATTATAGTATTAAAATTAAACTATGAGGGGGGGTTGTATGCATGCATATTAGCATAACCAATGGACACAGACACTGGGGCGGTGGGGGCTTGCCCAGGGTGGGAATGGCTGGAGTTGGGGGGGGGAGGTTAATTGGGGTAAAAGAAGACATATGTAAAACTTTAGACAATAAAAAAAATTAAACTATGAAGATAAGAAACTAAAACATATTTTTAAAAGAGAAACATTCCTATTAAAGTTTTTAAAATTAATGTTTATATATTTTTTAAAGGATATCATCATTTCTTTTCAACATATGCAGCAATTACTCCAGCAACAGACCCAAGCTAATACTGAATTGGAAGCAGAATTGAAGGTGCAAAGAGAAAATAATCAGGTTATATTTATATATTTTTTAAAGTATATTTCCATCTAATGAGCTCTGCCTGTTTAATTGCAGTCATCTGTTTAACTTTATCTGAGATCATTTTAAATTTTAGGAACAAGATATGGCCTCCTTAATCAACTTGCTATCAATGTCTAAAGTAAGGAGCATACTTTTAAACATTGAAGTCACTAGGTAAATGTTCAATTGTATCAATATCTGATTTAATTTTGTAATACATTGAATGTGATTTTTTTGTGTCTTAGAATTGTGGCCAAGATCTCAACTGAAAATAAGGTGACAACAAGTACACCATATTCTAAGGGAGCAATCAGTGAGCTCCTAGGAATTGGGACAGATCCCTCTTTACAGAAATACTAGTATGATAGAACTGGCCCTGTTACCTCAACATTCACTCATCCTCTTTCCAGTATATGTAAGAAAGTGATTGAGGAGGAGAAGAAGTTATGGTCACTGATGTTTGGGAGTGAGGGTTCAATAAGCAGGTTTTTTGTGGGTTTTTTTTTTTTTTGCATTCCTAGTGGAGGAGCACCCATTTCCCCTCACAAAGCTAAGTGAAGGAGTCTATAGGAAAATCACTTGTAAAGATTGTGGTACAAAAAGGGGAAGGGCAGACTGCCCTCTTGTTTCTTAGATGGATAGAAACCTTAATGTTCACTCTGGTGTTGCCAGTAGAGTGAGATAAGTTGATGTGGAAGGACTTGACATGTTTCTTGAGGTTTGGAAGTGTACCAAGAACTTACAGACTAACGCTCAGTTATGGTCTAGAAATTTCAAGGAGGAAAGTCTTTGGAATAATCTGTGCCAAAGGGGCTTGAAGTGTATTATGCTTGTTCCAATACTGAACGTATCTGGAAGGATGCAGAAGAGAGAACTTTGATGGTGCCTTGAATCCACAGGAAGGACCATGGAGGTTAGTGGAAGGGTAGGAACTGCCTTGTTTGCTACTGAGCCAAGTGATGGGATGTACAGCTTAGGAGGAGCTAGGGACCTGTTCCACTGGGGTGGCCAGTAGAAGGATTTATGCCCCTCTAAAGGGATTCTTGGGAATCCAGGGTGATGCTGAACATTTCCTAAGAAAACTACAATCACCTCCTGTGTAAAGACCACCATCAGCAGAGACCAGGGCCAACTTCATGGGTATGTAACCAATGCAGTTGCATATGGACCCAGTCTCAGAAGGGCCTTGTGCTTCAGGTTTAGTGTTCTCTGGTTACTGTCTTCAAATCTTAATGAATTTTTATCTTTGAATGTATGTTTTGTAAATTAAGTCTGATGATGGCACTGGGAGCTTGAGCCTCAGCTCCCAGTCTCCCACTGCCTCCCAGGACCACCTCCTGGCTGCTGGCTCTTCTACCCTTCTGCACCCTGGGCCCTGCCTGGCCTCATCTTCCCTGTTCCTGTCTCGAGACTTGCAACTAGTTCACATTGGTGGTGAGAGGCCCAGATGCAGGAGGGAGGGTCTGAGTGGAGTGCATGTGCCCTGCAGCATCCTGTATCCCGGGTTGGTAATATCTTGGCATTTAGCATGTTAGATAGGTGACTTGGCAGGAAGTGAGTCTCCAGTTCAGGTACAGAGGTGCATCTCTGCCTGGCAGTTGCAATCCCTTGAGGGTTACCCATCTGCCATGGGTTGGGCAAAGGTCCCATGAGACAGGAGATTGACTTCCCTCACCCACAGCCAGGACATAGTACATGGGTCCAGCCACTTGCAGTAGGTAGAATTCAGTAACTGGTAGCTTGTACTTATGCTGAGTCAAGTGGCAAGGCTTTAGGCATCTGTGAGGATCTGCATTTGCCCTGTGAGTATCCTTCTGCTCAGGGACTATGGCATTAAGTAGAAAATAAAAAGCCCCATGATAGGTTGCTGGGGATAGAGAGGAAGGGAGGAGAGAAGGACCATGAAGAAAGAAAAAACTTTTGTAATATCTTTAATAGCACTTTTTCCCCTGCCCTTTTTTTTTTTTTTTTTAATTTTTGCACCGGGCCTCACAAATTATGCTGAGTCCATCACCTTTGAATGGAACCAAACCTAACCTTAGCAGTGCAAGATTTATCTCATCATTGATGTTTTTTGACTAGTCATGCAAAGAAAGTTTTGCCTTCCTTATTTCTCTTGCCTCTATAGGAATTAGACCTAGAAGAGGAAGAAGGAAGAGGTGTGCTTGAGTCAAACCTCTTCCTCCTCTTAACCTCTTCACCTACTCAAATAAAAGACAAGTAGAAATCATTTCTCTGAAAGTCCAGGTATAAGCAAGTATCCCCGATACCTTCTCCACCCACCCTACAGATGGATAATTTGGAACCATTTCTCTGATATGTTGAACCTCCTCCCAAGAAATATGTGATGTAGTTTATCCACATTCTTTATGAGTAGCAGTTATCAGACTTGTCTTCTAATCCACTTAAAGGAGTTGAAACCTCAGTTTTTAGGATGAACAAAATATTAGAGATTAGCTAGTCTAATCATCATTTCATGATGAGCTAGAGATCCAGAAAGTATAAGCATGTAGTTCAAAGTCTCATAATTAGTGGCAAAACCAGGAGTAAATATTTGTCCTGACTCTATTCTAGCACTATTTCTACATAACATTGTTAGTATTTTTCCTAGACCTGTGAGAGCTGCCACTTTTGTTAGATCCATTATATGAAAACCACAACTTTTAAATTGTTTTCCATGCATTCTAAATCCAATGTTTATGTATCATTGAATTCTACAGAGCCTAGAGTAGTTACAATTATATATATATATATATATATATATAGAGAGAGAGAGAGAGAGAGAGAGAGAGAGACAGAGAGAGTGTCATGTGTTTCTTTGAGTTCATGATACCTGTAACTATGGTTCCAGGATCTTTTAATGACACTACTAAAATCTTGGGTACTCCAAATGCCTCTCTTTAACTAGCACCATTATTACCTGTGCCTTTATAATATAGAGAGAAACTAGATTTCATATAGTAAAATTTCAAAGTATTGGCAAAAACAGGATAGAATTGTCAGCTTTTTATTTGAATAAGGACATTAAAAAATAACTAATACCATCTATCATCTTTTTCATTTTATGAAAGAGAACATTTTAACACTAAAAGTATAGTAAGAATATAATCTCAGGTAAAAGGAGAGTCTGTTACAAGAAAAGACATGATGCCCTCCAATTGACATTTTTTTGCCATGGCTAGTGAAATTTTACCATGCTTGTTTGCAATCAGTGCTTGTTTGCAGACTGGTGCTGGAGAACCACTGCTATATAGCATAAGAAAATATTAATGTAGAACTGTTGCTGAGGATTATGCTGCATAGGTATCTCAAGTGTTTTCTTGAACATTCTAAATCCACCTGTACTAAAAGGGATCATTACTCTTCATAATGGCCTACTGTGTTTCAGCACTGTGTGGTAATGCTGCCATCTGTCTTATATTTTTATTGTACAGTTTGGAGCATAGAGAAATAAATTCTCATGATGGAGAATATTTTATACTATGATTTAATTATAGTTTAGTCCAGATATAAGTATAGTTATACTTCCATAGGCATAGTGTTAATAAGAATAATTTACTTAGTTTGCTGCCATAATCATAGTATTAACCAGGATAATTTACTCAGTTTGGGATATATTAAAATATTAACAGGTGTTTTTATTTTGACTTTCCACAATATCCATTTTTTCAGCTAGGGTTTTTGATTGTTAATCCAGATGCAAACAATCCTATATAATAAAAGCGTAATAAGCAAATCGACCAACCGACGGAACAACCAGTTGACAGGGGGGCGGGGCCAACGAGCAGGTGGCGCCAGGCCAGCCAAGGCATATGCCAGTGGGCAGAGGGAGGGGATGGGGATGGGGGGGGAGGGCAGCCGCTTGTGGCCACAGCCGTCCCCTGATCACCACCTGGTTGCCTCCCGCAGAGGGAGGCCAGACTGCGGTTTAGGCCCACAGGGAGCAGGCTCCCGGCCTGCGAGAGGGCTCAGGTCGGGCTGAGGGATCCCTGCCTCCCTCAGTGCACTAATTTTCGTGCACTGGGCCTCTAGTACCAAATAATCTCCTGATAGAGTATAACTTCCAATAGAACAGTAAATTTTCACTACCATAGCATAAGAGCATATAAGAGTATCTGTATCTGGCACATATTAGGAGCTCATTAAATGTTTAGTTCTTTATGAGCTAGAGGAGAATCTTTATGTTAAAATTGTAAAATTATGTTTCCATAATTTTGCCTGCAGATTGACATTTTAGATATAATTGAGAACTCTATATAGATAAAACACTGTGAAGCCTTTAAAATGAGATAGGTCTATATATAATGATATGGAAAGTAAGCAAGACATATTAATTTTTTCAAAACAGATGCAGAATAATATGGTATGTATAGTACTATATTCTTTATGCTTATATGACAATTTCTGGAAGGGTACACAAGAAACTGCCTGAGTGGTTACCTCTGAGGAGGTAATTGGAAAACCTTACCTTTTCTTTGTGTGGCTGGAAATGTTTACCCTGGATGTACATAGATAGCTTTAATAATGATCAACAAATGAACTTAAAAATTCCAGATATAGTAGACATATAGGTAGAGTTCTTACTACTTGTCTTTTTACAGAGGTTCATTTGGATTATCAGCAGACATTAGAGAAACCTAATAATATTGGTGACACTGATACCAATAGCTTTAAAACCCGTGTCTTAGAAAACAGTAGTGGTTTTAGTCTTTAAAGGTTTTCTTTGGGGGTGGGGAGAGAGGGTAGTGTGATGGTGTTTATATTATGTTATTTTATAAAGTAATTGATTAATAGAGTAAATATTAAAACTCTACTTAAAATGTGTTAATTTGAAATTAAAAATTAACATTGTATTTAAGGGCTCTCTAGCCAGTTACTTCCTAAAATAAACAGATGTGGAAAAATGTTCTGTGGTAGTTAAAATTTTTTAGTAGTGTTATATGCTGGATTATGCTACATTTCATATTTTTCAATGCTGTAGTTTATATTACTTTTTCAGTACATTAAAACTTATGTGGTGAAACTGAATAATGGCAATGTTTTTATGTCCTTTTATAGTCATTTCTTTTTCATAACCTCCCCCTCTTTTCCTGTTAACTAAACTATAAGCACCTTTCTGTTAATTTATGAAAATTATTGTTGAGATAGCACATTATCACTGATCTGTATGGCACTTGCAGCATGTTAGAAGCAAAGGTCTAAGCAACATAAAACACATCAAAATTCATTAATGTGGTATTGATTATTTTTTGGATAATTAATTTTATTGCAGACCCTTGAAAGAGATAATGAGCTGCAAAGGGAGAAGTTAAAAGAAAATGAAGAAAAGTTCCTTAATCTTCAAAATGAGCATGAGAAAGCATTAAGAACTGGGGGAAAGCATGTAGGTTTATTAAATATTTAAATATTTTGAATAGTTGTAGACATTTAAAATAACTGCTAAATGCAAAAGAAATATCGCAAAAATAATGTAGGAATAGTCAGACACATTTTCTTCTTGCACTTATATTTCTAAGAAGTGAATGCTTTTTAAAAAGCTAGATTTAATAAAATTTCCTGTATTGCTTTTATGCATGAAAAACCACACGTGTGTATGTGTGTGTGTGTGTATAAATTGAATGACTTTCCATATGTAACAAAGAAAAATTAATTTACCTTTTCATAAAATCATTAATAGTATTGTAGTAAATTATTAAAATAAGGAATTATGTAAGGTATTATTGTTGGCTGATCTATTTAGCTTTCCTCAGCAGTTTTGTTGAGATGTATTAAAGCCATGTTTAGAACATGTAGATAATAGTTGAGTTCTATAGTGTTAACATTTTATCATAAGACTTGATGTTATAAACATGGCTATTTTCTTAAACCACGTGTTTGCTAATAAATATTAATATTAGTGAAATAGATAATAAAAGTGTAAATTAGTAATATAAAGGTTGACTTTAAAAATTGGTGAACCCTAAAATTGATTTTTCTATTTTAATATCTATTTCATTGCCTTTCAGTTCTTTTACAAGAATAACACAATAGAAAGTTACTATTTATGAGTTTATGAAATCTGTATTTTGGGAAAGATTATATTTTAGACTATTATGCCAATTATACTATGTTATTCTAATACTATACTATCTAGTTTTACTAATATACTTTATATTTAAATACCAACTTGATAAAATTCACTAAAGATGACTTTGTTTAATATAAATTGTTATATATGTAACTCTTGATTTTTCAGTTTCTCACATAGTGGGTTCCCCTTTCAATTTGATGCTGGTTTCTTTTGCTGTGTAGAAGCTTTTTATTTTGATGTAGTCCCATTTGTTTTTTTTCCTTAGTTCCTTTGCCCTAGATGTATCCGTAAACATACTGCTATGAGAGATGTCTGAGATTTTGCTACCTATGGTTTCTTCCAGGAATTTTATGGTTTCATGACTTAATTTAAGTATTTTATCCATTTTGTGTTTATTCTTGTGTATGGTATAAGTTGGTGGTCTAGTTTCATTTTTTTGCATGTATGTGCCTAATTTTCCCAATACCACTTATTATTGAAGAGACAGTCTTGATTCCATTGTATGCTTTTGCCTCCTTTGTCAAATATTAATTGAGCATAATGGCTTGTGTCGATTTCTGGGGTCTCTGTTCTGTTCCATTGACCTATATGCCTGTTCTTGTGCCACTACCAAGCTGTTTTGATTACAGTGGCTTTGTAGTATAACTTGATATCTGGTATTGTGATCCTCTAACTTTGTTCTTTCTTAAGATTGCTGCAGCTATTTGGGGTCTTTTTTGGTTCCATATAAATTTTTGGAGTATTTGTTCTAGATATGTGAAATATGCTGTTGGTATTTTGATAGGGTTTGCATTGAATCTATAGATTGCCTTGGGTAGTATGGACATTTTAATGATGCTAATTCTACAAATTCATGAACATAGTATATTCTTCCACTTGTTATATCTTCCTCTATCTCTTTTTTCAACATCCTGTAGTTTTCCAAGTACAAGTCTTTTACTTCATTGGTTAAGTTTATTCCTAAGTATCTCAATTTTTTTGCAATAAATAAAAGTATCTCAATTTTTTTTGTTGCAAAGGGTAAATGGAATTGTTTGTTTTTGTTACTCTTTCTGAGAGTTCATTATTGGTATATACAAAAAAAACCCATCGTTTTTTTAGTGTTGATTTTGAATCCTGCTACATTGCCGAATTCATTTATTAAATAGTTTTTTGGTGGAGTCTTTAGGGTTTTCTATGTACGATATCTAATGTCATCTGTGAATGAGAGTTTTATTTCCTCCTTTCCAATTTGAATGCCTTTTATTTCTTCTTCTTGTCTGCTGTCTGTGGGAACCCGGCCAGCCCTTTCGTGCCACTGCTTATCAGGGTTCTCTCCAGCTAGTCTTCAGTTGATTATTCAGAATTTTTTGTATTTTAGTTGTAATCCTACTTTATCAGCACAATTTAAATGTTTTATACTTTTTTAAAAAAAATTTATTTTGTTGAAAGTATTCAGATGTCCCCCATTTTCCCCTCTCCACTCATCCCCCCCCCACCCCCACCCCCCATTGTTTTAAATAATCTGTTTTTACATTAAAGGAACCTTTTCCATTTTACACTAGAATCTTCCAGAAGTAAATACTGAAAACAGTGATATGTCAATGGGAAAATTACAAAACATCATACAGAAATATAATTCTAGGGAAGAAAATAAAGTGAGTTTTTGTTTAGATACTGAATATAGAGAAAATGAGAAAAAGAAAGGACCACTTACAGAAGAAATCATTATAGAAGGTAACCTAAGATTATATTGATATTTTCTAATTTGTATATTGAGCTTTGTAGAGGGATTCAATTATAGCCTTTGCTTTGAGGACCTTGTAATGTAGTTGGAGAAATACATTATTTGTATATATCTTAACAAAACAGGGTCCCTTTGTGCTATTCTTTACAGCAGTGGTTCTCAACCTTCTGGCCCTTTAAATACAGTTCTTCATGTTGTGACCCAATCATAAAATTATTTTCATTGCTACTTCATAACTGTAATGTTGCTACTGTTATGAATCATAATTTAAATATCTGATATGCAGGATGGTCTTAGGCGACCCCTGTGAAAGGGTCGTTCGACCGCCAAAGGGGTCGCGACCCACAGGTTGAGAACCACTGCTTTACAGTCAATATTTTTTGGGGAAAAGTACATTTCTGCCTATTCATCACTTCTTTCCTTTTTGCATTCTGGTTTATGCCTTCACTGTTTTGCTGAGAATGTCCAATGGGCTTCCAATAACCTTCTGATGACCAGACCTAGAGCACGTTACATCCAATGGCCTTTCTAAAACTGTTCAAATAATTTACTAATTCATCCAGCTTGAAAAAAAGTTGTTTAAAGACAGTAACATTCAAGTTTTGTCCTTAACTAATTAATTCTTTGAAAGTGTTCAAAACTAGGCCAAACAACCACTTGGTGGAGATGTTGTAGAGAGAATGGTCAGACTAAAAAAGCCCTACAAGCTCTGAACTTTATATTCCAGATTATTGTGATTATACTGAATTTTTGAAATCTATGGTTGGAACCCAAATGAATAAAAATTAATGTCTTAAGTAGACATTTTATACACTTGGCCAAAAGTATTCCAAAAGCAAAATATATTTACAAGGTAGTAAATTAAAAAAGTGATAAGAGTATTGAAGAAGCCAGCTAGCAATTTCTGGATCTAAGTAGTAATAGAAATTAAGAGTATAAATTGTTAGGATAAATTGATTTTATCGAATCAGCTCTGTGTTTATATGGACTTGACTAGAGAAATAAAAACCATTTTTATAATACCCTCAACGTGTCTTGTTTTAAACCAAAAGTACTTTTGTTGTAGTGCATAAAAATTTACTGTGTTCTCATCATGACAGATATACAGCATACTGAAAAAATCTCCAAGAATGAAATTGATCCTAGTGTACCTCAAGATGAGAAGCAAAGCGAAATCTCTGTAAGCAAAACCCTCTGCATAGAAAAAGAATTAATTAGTCAAGGACAAACCTTGAATGTTACTGACTTTAGAAAAGCAGCTACTACAGAAATAAAAGACAAGATGGGCTTGGAAAGAGACAATGAATCCCCAGAATTTAAATCACCAAATAATTCTTTTTTAGAGGCAGATATATCAATAGAAACAGACAGCATACACCTAGAAAGAACTGAAGGATTCGATGTTCACTGTCCAGATTTACATCTGGAGGTTGAAAGTAACAGAATATCATTTAACAGTGTCTTAAATGAGATGGCTCACAGTACAAATCATAAAAAAGATGTTTCTGAACAACGGTTTAGATTGCTTCCAGAGACTCAAGAAAATGCTACAAAGAAGACAATTACAAACAGTGACCAAGCCAAAATAGATTTGGATTCATCTCTGGATGAAAAAAAGAAACCTGTTCAGTGTCAAAAATACAATTTACATGACTCAAGTAATGTTATATTAGATGATAAACAGTGTAAAATAGAACAAATACAACTGGTAAATAATAAAAGTGAGTGCAGCACACTACCACCTCAACAAACTTCAGATGTTCAGCAAATCTGTAAGGATACTTCAGAGAAGCCTGGACTTACTATTCCCTATGACATTGCAGTTGAATACCCCATTTCATCTGCAGTTTTCAGTGATAATCTTAAAGTATTTCTTAAGAATTCAGATACAAATGTTAATATGATGCCTATATTGGTGAAACCAAACTCAAGCCCTGGGAAAAGAGCTGTATGTAAAAATCTGAATGACTCACAAAGTCCATTTAAGGACTGTTTGGGAGATTTAGAAAACAGTATGAACATTTCTCAACTTCAAGTTAACAATGAGAATATACATACCTCACAAGCCAAAGATATGAAAACTGCTGTTCACATGAAAACTTCCACAGAAATGCAGTTTTCCAGTAAAGAGAGTCACATTGATGAGAATCAGTTAACTGAAGCTACAAAAAATGACCTTTTCCTGTTTGTGGATGTTAATGAAAGACAGCATACATTGTTAAATAATACTGAGAAAACAGAGTCATTAAATGACATCGTTTCAGGAAAAATTTACAGTGAAGGACAGCTGGAAGAATCATGTTCATTTCACATAAAGCCATCTGGAGATTTAGTAAACAGAAGTGGAAAGTCAGCCTTTGATCTTTCAACTTCAGATAAAAAAACTGAGAAAACTCCAGTATATGTGAATTTTTTAGACCCCAGTTCTTGGTCAAAAGTAAATCAAAATGAAAGTCAAACAGTGAGCACTTCAACTTCTGGCATTCCCTTGTTGCTGAACGAGAGACCAATAGGCCCATCAGAAAACGAAAAGATTGTTTCAATGACACTTTGTAAAAATGTCAGGAAGGATATTGGGCCAGGTAAGAAAACAAGCTTTATGTTTACTTTAAAAATTTATTATTTCTGTTTAGTATTCTTGGTAAAAATTCTCCAGATTATGTTCAAAATGAAAACATGTTAGTATTTTTTTTTCCTAAACCTAAAATACTCCTTATATAGTAAAAGTAAAGGCTTTATTTAGATGAAAATGGATTTTTCACCTAAATCTGAACCAGTTTTGTCAACATATACTGAGGCACAAATGCATTTTGGAAATTAAAAAAAAAAAAAAAAAGAACCAAGGAACTGAAAATAAAAAAACCACCACAGGTCCAGGCAACTAATTTTAAATTAGGAACTGCTACTTCATCTGAGGTCTTTACTTTCTAGAGCAAATGCAGAGAAGTTGATAAGGCTTCTTCCAGTGCCCATGTTGAACACACACACACACACATACACACACACACACACCAAGAAAAATCACCACCACCTCTCTCCCTCAGAACCACCTTTTGTCACTTTCTTCCCCGTTTTCTCCCTCTTTCCTTCATTTTTCTATTTTATCTGTTTCTTCACCAGCACCACAAATCCAGCTTTTGTTTGACAATCTCAAGGTATAACATGATTACATTTCATATCATTGCTATTTGTCATTGAAACACTTTAAATTGAACCCCTTAATATGATGTACCTATATTACTAATACACTAAAATGCTAAATATTTCAGACTATTATTTAAAACTACCACATGAAATAACATAATGTCCAAGTTTTGCTTTAAAAATACACAATAGAAAAATAGGGGGAAAGGTAATGGATGAAAGTCATATGACTTAATATTGATGGATATTGAAGCTGGGTAATGGGTACTTGAGATTCATACTCTGTACTTGGGAGTACTTGAAATTTTTCATATTAACATGTAGATGCTGTATAAACATAACTTGGAGATAATGTTTAAGAAGTATGATTATGAGGAAAATGTTAACTTTGCCATTTGCAGTCTCACAATCAAAGTTTGCATTGTTAAAGATTTAGATTTTAAGTGACTTCACCTGTTTAAGAATATGCAGTTAGACCCATTAAAAGAAATGCAGATTACAAGGCAGCTTTGCCTGACCCTGACTTTAACATGCTTCTTTTAAAAGGAAAGAGAAAACTTGGGAGAAAAACTGGGAACTAAAAGCAAAATAAGTACTTCTTGCTTACTAGCATGAATGGAGATATAGGGGGAAAAAACAGAAAACACCAAAGCACTGGAAAATCTTATTTCACAAAATCTAATTTTTCCTAGTAAAATGTATTAACTTCAGATTCCATTAATCTTATCTGTCAAATGCTGTGGTTAGTCAAATGCTATTAGTCAAGGATCTGGTCTAATGTTGACCATATTATCACAGTTCCTTTCTTCTAAATTTCAGTGATATAAATTTAAGAATGGAAGGGGAGATGTCTGAAATTCTATAAAAATTCAACTTGTAAAGTCGTCAAACTCATAAAAGTTTAAATATTTTTTAAACTTCGAAGTAGGCATGTTTCTCTACATTACTTTTATCTGTTTATTAAATACTAGACAGCCCTTTGTTGGGTATCTTATGGCCAGTTTCTTTTAATCTGAATTCGTAAGATGTTCACTATATAAATGTTTACATGTACAGGCAGTGTAGTAACTGGGGAATAAGGATAACATTTTGTTTTATAAGATGTTTATACCATTTCACTCATTTTAATGTGAAATCAGGTTTTAGAAAGTAGCAATAATAAAACTTTATTTTCTGAAATGAGATGTTTAATGTAAAAGCAAAGTCTATGAAAACTATAAAAAGATCAAAGTAAAAAGAAAATAGAAATTGTTACTTTTTAAATACAAAAGCATAGAATCAGAGTAAAACAAGTTCAGCCACTAAAATGAGTGCCTGGAGAATAAAATTCAGTTGTTGCCATTTCCTCTTTGTCAAGCAGATACTACCAGCATTAACAGAGTTGCTGACACTTTGAATAACTCCACTATCCATCCAGATCCCAAGGGAGAGCCCCGTGAAGAGAGGAATGCAACTGCAAAGACTTCTTGTGATTCTTCTTTTCCCACAGAACATGTAAGTCAATTAAAAATATTGCCAAGCAGACCTTAGTGAGCTAATTCTACAGATATGTGTAGAACTGTATGCATCTGGATGCTTTAAGACCTAACTGATCTCCAAAATAATATCAAGAGGGCAGCATGGCACCATTTTTCACAATTAAGGTTGATGGAAAACAGCAGGAAAAAGTCACAGTGTATAAATCAAATAGATATAATCCAGCCTGTTTGAGGAGGGAGAGTGTGAGGTAGTGTATTATGTACTTCTATATTTTAGTCACCTAAACTTAGGAATAGTGGCACTTGCACATTTATTTAAACTTAAAATACAACTGTTCACAATTTGAGCATTTAAAATTTTATTCTAATTAAAGTTGCCTTAAATAGTCAATGAATAAATTCAGCTATTTTTAGTAGGGCTTAATGTTACTTACATTTTGGGAAACTGTTGTGAAGGAATTTATTTTAAATTATTTCAGTTAGAACACAGAATATGAAAGGATCAAATGTCCATCAATATATATCAAGTATGAATGTAAATATTAAACAAAAGATTTGTAGAGATTATATGGCTCCAGGAGTCTATTTGTCATATAAAAAGCAACTAACTACAGATGACAGGTTTTTTGGTAAAATTTGTAAGTTTCTTATCTTGGTTACAAAACTTTAGTGCAAAAAAGGCTATGTTGTTCAAAGTCTACAAAAAACAATTATAGGTATAACTGCTAAAAGATAACCTATAAATGTTAGGAAAGGTTACTTATTTAAATAATTGCATAGTGAGAATTTAAAGCCACTATATTGTTTTAAATTTTATAGACACATATTAAGTAACTTTCTCTTCAGCACATCGAAGATGAAAATTACAGTATTGACACCTTAACATATAACAGGTTTTCACAATTTCATTTTTCTTTTTAAGTATGAGAGACCCTCACTGAGATAGTATAAACTTTTCTTCTGGGAGGGTTAAAACTAAAATCAGGATTCATCTTTTCACCATTGTGTCAGCAGAAATCATTTCAGCTTTGATGTGTACAAGTGTGTATCTTTGAAATATGGTAAATCTGGCATTGGGAAATCCTTGGCCAACTAGGTAAGTTAGTGAAATCAGTGCAAAAAGGAAAAGCTAGATACCAATTTCAAACTCGGTTGAATACTTAACATCTATACTAATAATAGCAGAATATGCAAATTGTTCAGGACAGGGGTGGAGCCATGGGTGGAGAGCTCTCAGTACGCCTGCGCTGGGGGTCCGAAGGGCATGGAGAGGAAGGGAGAGCAGATAGGGAGTTAGGGCGATCAGTCCAGGAGGGGAGAGCAGATAGGCAGTTAGGGCAATCAGGCCAGGAGGGGAGAGCAGATAGGCAGTTAGGGCAATCAGGCAGGCAGGGGAGCACTTAGGGGCATCAGGCAGGTGAGCGGTTAGGAGCCAGTGGTTCCGGATTGTGAGAGGGATCCTGGATTGGAGAGGGTACAGGCCAGACTGAGGGACCCCCGCCTCCCATGCATGAATTTTGTGCACTGGACCTCTAATTTATTATAATTGTCCTTTTTCAAAGGTATAATGGGAATTTCATGTCTCCCTTTCAAGCCCATTTTTATAATTAACCCAGTAGTTCCATTCTTTGTCTAATCCTAATGCTTTTCTTGCAATTAATGTTTTTAAGAATTTATAGAATTAAAGCTTTTTCAAAAAAATATTCCCACAACAGTCCTATAAGGCACATCTATTTTACAAATGAGGAAGCAGTGACACAAATGTGAAATAATTCCAAAGCACTGAGAGACACTACCTGTGGCAGACTTAAAGTAGGTCTCTTCGCTCTTAGTCAAATGCTACTTTCTCAACTTTCATAGTAAAAAAAATGTTTCTTCTCAAAATGCTAGTGCATGTAAAAAAAAAAATAAAACTCAGCTCACTGGCTAAAGAGATATTTTCTAAATTTTACTAGGTGTCAAGCACTATGCTAAGTACCATTGTCCCCCCTGAAGCTTGATTACCAATCAACATCTAATGTGGGACACATTTAAAAGCAGACCTATTCTTTTGCCTAGACGACTGAAAATGCTGTTATTCTTGCATTAAACCAGACAAATCTAGTCTCTTTATGAAGCCTGTTTACTTGCTCCTTAATATTTTACACTTTTCTAAATAGGGCTGTCAGGTGACAACTGGTGGGCCAAATGCAGCTCCCACCCCCTCATTTTAGTAAGTACAATTTTATTAAAGCACAGCCACACCCATTAACTATTGTCTATGGCTACTTTTGTGTTCAATGACAATTAGGCAGTTGCGAGGGAGGCCCCTTGGCCCACAAAGCCGTTTCCCTATTCTTGTTCTAAATGAAGACAAATTAATTTTATGAAGACTTAGAAAGGGAATAAAAGTTATTCATATTTTTCAACGTATTTTTATGCACTCTAGCCACACCAATCCTGTAAAATTTTAGGTATATATTATGAGCTAATCCCCCTTTTTTGTACTTTGGAGAGGGTTAGGTTAGTAGCCTGCTGCAATCTTGGTCATACCTAGGAATGAGGATGGGAAAGAGGGGCCAGCATAAACAAAGCCATTCATTTTATACAATGAATTAGGTTCATTGAAGTTAAATTTTAAAATGCAACCCCAGGACTAGTATCAGATCTTTGAGTCAGGCAGAAAGAGGAAGTATTTTTAAAAGGAGATAGGAAAGAGCAATGATATGTGGCTACATATAGAACTGGAATTACTCTAGGCTGCAAAACCCTAGTTAAGCTAAGACAAGTTTTGTTAAAATCTCTCTACAGGGAATCCCTGCTTCTGACATGCCCCTGACCGGAGTCGAACCCGGGACCCCTGAGTCCGCAGGCCGACGCTCTATCCACTGATCTTTGAGTCAGGCAGAAAGAGGAAGTATTTTTAAAAGGAGATAGGAAAGAGCAATGATATGTGGCTACATATAGAACTGGAATTACTCTAGGCTGCAAAACCCTAGTTAAGCTAAGACAAGTTTTGTTAAAATCTCTCTACAGGGAATCCCTGCTTCTGCCCCTCCCACTAAGTAGCTAGTTTAGGGAAGAAACTAAAGCAGATATGTGTAAATGTCTCTCTCCTTTCCATCATCGAGATAAAAAGTCAAAGAATCAGAATTTTGGAAAATGGGCTGATTTGCACTGGATGTCAAATGCAACAAAATGCATCAAGTATTTTGATGGCAAAACAGGACCATTAAATCACAAGGCATCAATCATTTAACTTCAAAATCAGCAGCAACCTAGATTTAGATTTGATATCTTTCTATGTATCAGTATTGCATGGGTGACTGTGTACATTCATTTTGGCTCTGTAAGCTAAATGAAGTGTGGTGAACTTACTTATATGCGAGACATTATCAGAAATACACATTTACCCATTTTTTTCCGTTACCACTTACTCTTTTTTAAAGAATCCTTACTCAAGGACATACTTTGATTTTAGAGAGAGTGAAACATCAGTGTGCAAGTGAATGTCAATTAGTTGCCTACTGAACTAGCCCTGACCAGGAATCAAACCCACCGCCTGAGTACCCGCTCTGACTGGGAATCAAACCCGTGTCCTTTTGGTGTATAGGACATTGCTCTGAGTCATACCAGCCAGGGCACCAGTTACTTTTTACAATAGCATTTTGTATCTAAAAGGAGCTGATGAGAAAACTAAGGCTCACAAAAGTTAAATAATTTGCTTATTGTCCTGGCAGTCCTTGACAATACTTTTGTTTTCATCTGTTATTTTATAAGAACATAGGCAATCATATGAATACAGTATCATCATAAGGATCAGAGGCTAGGACTTTGAGGGGACAGGTGGCTAACTAGAATTCTCAGGAGCCAAGAAGAGCAGTCCTGAGGGAACTGAGATTAAATATAAATAGTTAAGAGCCTATAAAAAATAATTACTATGGCCCTAACCAGTTTGGCTCAGTGGATAGAGCATCGGCCTGCGGACTGAAAGGTCCCAGGTTCGATTCCAGTCAAGGGCATGTACCTTGATTGCAGGCAAATCCCCAGTAGGGGGTGTGCAGGAGGCAGCTGATCAATGTTTCTCGATGTTTCTAACTCTCTGTCCCTCTCCCTTCCTCTCTGTAAAAAACCAATAAAATATTTTTTAAAAAAATAATTACTATATAATCTCACTTGAAAATGACAATGTTTTGAATATGCCACTTAATCAGTACAATTGGAAAAGATTTTAATGTAAAGCAGTATTCAAAGATCATCAAAGATTTATGAGCAAATGGTATTCATCATAGCCTAATGTATAAAAATAAATTTTTCAAAAACTTAAATGTTCAACAATATATTAAACTAGAGGCCTGGTGCACAAAATTCATTCATGGGGTGGGGGGAATCCCTCAGTCCAGCCTGCACCCTCTCCAATCCAGGAGCCCTAGGGGGATGTCTGACTGCCCGTTTAGGCCCGATCCCATAGGCCCATAGGGATTGGGCCTAAACCGGCAGTCGGACATCCCTCTCGCAATCCGGGACCACTGGCTCCTAACTGCTCACCTTCCCACCCGCCTGATCACCCTAACTGCTCTCCCCTGCTGGCCTGATCACCCCTAACTGCCTCTGCCTTGGCCCCCCCACCATGGCTTTGTCTGGAAGATGTCTGGTCTAATTAGCATTATTACCCTTTTATTAGTATAGATTATGGAACATGGAATAAAATGGATCCATGTTCTTAACAGACCTTAAACCACAGGGAAATGCTAAAAATGTTTTTAATACAGCGTAGAAAATGTGTGATTTAAATTTTCAAATAGTGTATTTATACAGAAGGGACCAGAATATTTACATCAAATTGTTTAATGGTGGTTGGAATCTTGGGTAATTTTAATGTGGTTCTTATCCTATTCCCTATTCTAAATTATAACATTCCCTTTTAACAATAAGTTTTATCTGGTAATCTAAGACCATCAAAGGTTTTTTTTCAAGAAATTAAATTTATTTGACAGGGATAAGTTTAAACAAATATTCAATTAAGAGATAAATTACAACACATGCATAAAAGGGAATTATTTTTGCAGCCCCCTACAATAGTTTGAGAAATTTTAATGACCTAGGAAAGCAGCTCAGTGGGAAAAACAAAGATATAAAATTCTAGAAAGTTATTGATTATACTAAAAATAGAAAAAAAGTCTAGTGCAAATGGTACCAAAATGTTGACAAGTCTCTGGATAGTGGTTTACTACTGATTTTTAGTTACTTTATACTTTTTTTCTATTTTCCAAATTTCCGGTGTTTTATTATCAGGAAAAAAAATAGAAATGAACATTTTTAGCACAATATTATAAGTATGACCCAATGTAGTGCTTTGGAAAACATGCCAACTTCCAAATACTGCATTGCTCTTTCCTGTGTCTCCAAAAATGGTGCTCTGAAGCATGAGAGGAAACATGAAGTAAAAAGCAGTTTTTAAATGGTAGTTTACTTCTGTTAGCATTTTAAAATTTACCCTTGTTTTGATAGAAGATACAAAACATAGACATGTTTGGGAAAGGAAGGGAGTAGAAGACAAAACAGATTTTTATCTGCCTGTTTTAAATATCTTTTCTTTCAATGTAAGCTCAAGACCTTTTAGAAAATGGTATTCCTGGAATATATTAAGAGATCTTGAAAAGCTACTACATAAGCCTACAAATTCACATTTTATAGTTTCTTGATGCCAAAATGTAGTAGTTGGGGAAAAGCCAAGAAAATGGTGGCTTTATCATATGCTCATAATTGCAAAAGCTTAATGATATTCTTTAAACTTATTTGTTGATGAGTGTTTAGAAAATGAGTAATAACTTCAGTGGTAAAACAAGTTTGGTCTTTCCTAGGTGAAAACACAGTCTCTGAAATCAAATCTACAAAGCCATTCTCAGGCTCTCAAGATTAAAGATACTACTAATTTAACTATGTCTTCTTTTGGTGAAGGTGGCTGGCAGAGCCTGATAACAAATCAAATAAAAGAAAGTGAAAAGTTCCTAAGCTTAGAGAATGACAACCAATCTAAAAAAAGAAAAGCAGAAGAGTTGTTGACAAAAACAGATTAATACTTTCAGTGGTAAATTAGAGTACTGATGTAGTTTCAATTACAGCAAAATGACTTATATCTAAAGCTTCAGATGTATTCACTTTTCCAATTTCTTCTGATGTAATGAAGTTGTATTACTATGTTTTTGCCCATAAAATGCTTCAGTTAAGATAGCTGAGTTAAGATTGCAAAGTTTGCTGTTAGCATCTAATTCCCCTTAAATTGGTCTTTCCTCCATATACCTTTCATCAAAGCTCCTGCTGCACCTTCAAGACCCTTCCTTAATAGAACACAACTTACATATTATTCAAGGTAGACACAGTGAGACCCTTCGTAATTTATTACATTGTATCCTCTGAAGATTGTAATTTCTTTTGAACTTGAGACAATAAATGTTCAGACTGTTGTCAAATTTCAGCTTAAAATGTTTTACTATCATTTAGATGTTTCCCCAAAAGAAAAATATTTATAGCATAAAAATTCAGGTATCAGAAAGACTCAAAAGGCTGTTTTTCACTTTGTTCAAGTTTTGTTTCCAGGCATTAAGTGTGTCATACAGTTGTTGCCATTGTTGTTTTCCAAATGTCCGATGTGTGCTATGACTGAAAAATTAAAAGTCATTAGTCAACCTTTTATCCTCTTGTATTCTTTTATAATACTACATACTTGAATCTAGTCAAAAGCAAGGTTAAATATACATAAAAGACAATTTCAAATTGTAAGAGAATGAGCAGCTTATTTTTTAAAAAATTCTTTATCATATTGATCCTGAACCTTCTATTTTCCTGAACTACATAAAACAGACACAAAAGTCATTAGTATTCTAGCCAATGCTGAGCCATTAAATGAAATGTGCTGGAAAATAGGACTTTCATTAAATAAGCTAATCAATTCAGTCTGAACTTTAATAAAATTATGATAAATAGCAACTATTTAACTACAGTCAATTGATAAGAACATCACCTTAGTTCTCTAAACATTTAAGTGAAATCATCAGAACAAACTAAATTGTTCTACAAAATGCTGCAAAGTATTAAGTGTCTTACCTGACAACTACTTTTCGCTGGGTCTGATCAATTTTGCAGTAGACCATTTTTGTTTTCACGGCTGAAAAAAGACATTTTACATGACATGTTATATGGAAAATGCCTAAGAAAAACAGCTTAAAGTATGAAACTATGACCAAGCAAGCCATAATAAAACTTGACAGTTTTCTAATATGATTTTATAAGCTGGCTCTTTGAATCTAATAAACAGCAATATGATGCAACTAAGAGGGAGATTATGCATTTATTTATCCTATGGTTGCTGGGCTAATCCATACCAAATATATAGTGTTCTTTTTAATACATATATATGTTTTATTGATTTTTAGAGAGGGAGGGAGAGAAACATCAATGTGAGAGCACAATGCCTCCGGCATGCCTCCCCTCCCCCAGTTTTCATCAAGAATTCTAGATGTTCTCCTCTACAATCACACCTTAGGGCAGGGGTCCTCAAACTATGGCCCGCGGGCCACATGCAAATACAAATATTGTATTTGTTCCCGTTTTGTTTTTTTACTTCAAAATAAGATATGTGCAGTGTGCATAGGAATTTGTTCATAGTTTTTTTTTAAACTATAGTCCGGCTCTCCAATGGTCTGAGGGACAGTGAACTGGCCCCCTGTTTAACAAGTTTGAGGACCCCTGCCTTAGGGGGTTGAAGGGGAAGATTTCCTAATTAGGTATTTCTTTATAAGTATGTTTAAGAATTAGAGCATTAGAACTATGTGAATAGTTCTTTATTTTATTAATTGTATAATCCCCCAAACTTTCAAATTTAAAGGCTCAGGAAGAAAATAAAAAATTCTGTTACTTTATAATACCAATGTTGGGGAAGAAAGTCCTGTTTCTAGGCCAATCATAAAAAACTGATAATGGTTAACATCTGCAGGACATTTAATACATGCCAGGCACTGGGCTAAGTGCTTTACCTGCATTAATTCATTTAATCCTCAGAACTACAAATTACTCCTATATTCCTATTTCATAGAGGAAGACAGACCTGGTCTCAAACCCAGGTCTGATATAAAAATCCAGGCTCTTAACTACCCTATGGTATACCACCTAAAGGTTTTTGTTCTATATAAGTTTAAGAAATAGAACAAACACCAAAAACCACATAGCAATTTTTATTTCCATTGAACTTTCACTCTACAACAATTACAATCTGCTAATCTACTAAAATACACATTTGTTACAAAAGAATCTAGCTTTGTTAGCATATGGCTCAGCTTCAAGATAAAAAATCTTATACTGCATGGGTAAAAGACAAATAGAAAAAAAAAAAGCTCTAATTGCCTTACCATCAATAACAAACGCTTCAACATCATCAGCTCCAATCTGAAGTTCCTGTTGCATTGTATCAAAAGAAATTTCTTTATTTTCCACTGCCATTCCCATAAAAGTAAGTAGTCTCATTTTTGCCATATTCTGTTCATGTAATAGTCCTGATAACAACAAAATAGTGAAGTTGAATAGGTATTAATGCTAATAGAAGACCAATTACAACTCTTGTGTCAAACTGTAGAGTCATTGTGTTTGAGCACTTTATATATAGAGTAATTTTGACAAAGCTTATATTTTCAAATCATAAACTGACCCCATAATTAAATTATGGAGTATTTAAAATTCTTTTTCTAGAACTACATTTATTTATTACTATAGGTAATAGACAAAGTTAATAAGACTGGGCTATAAAATGTTTTTAGGCCCTAAAGTTTTTTTACATCCTAACTTATACACTTAAGGAGATAAAATGTACAAAATCCATTTCATAAGGGAAAATTTTATATAAATGAATTACTTATGCTTATTTTTACTAACAGGTCCCTTGTTTAAATGGAGGACTCCTTATCTACTTATACCTTGTTCTGTGTTTTATTAGGAAACATGAAGTTTTAAAACATTTTTATACACATTCAGTCATGAAAACATTCCATTTCCTGTCTGGTCACTTTGGATTTAATATTTAAAAGTTAAAACTGTATATGCCCATCCACTGTGGCTCAGAGGTTGAGCATTGACCCATATAAACCAGGCAGTTACAGATTCCTGGTCAGGGCACATGCCCGGGTTGCAGGCTTGATGCCCAGTAGGTAGTGTGCAGGAGATAGATGATTCCCACTCCTCATTGATGTTTCTCTCTCCCTTCCTCTCGTAAATCAATAGAAATATATTTTTTTTTAAATGTAAAAGTGTGTTTATCACTTTACATTTACAGACTAAGATGATTAATACTAGAAAAAACTAAACAGTACCATTAACATACTTGTTCTTTACAAGGCCTAAATAGAAAACTGTATAGATAATTCAAATTTTTGCCTTGCAATTTTTAAACGCAACATACTGTTATAATTACTCATATCAAAAACAAACTGTTAGACCCTTTTAAAAGGAAACTTAACAAATTATCTGGCCCTGCTCCTTTCACTTTAAAAAAACAATAAAATTGAGGAGTAAAGAAGTGAAATGCTTTACTTAGAGTCACAAAGTGGCCTCGAAAATAGGTTCATTTATAAAATAAATAACTAGAAATATAAATATTTACAAATCCTGAATATCCAAGTGTTTACCCGTCTCTACATGGAAACTGAATTACAACATATACACTTGATTTGATGCTAACTTAAGTTTCTAAAATTAATACAGAATTACATGCCCCTTTTCTCTGAGCTTTCAAATTTCGTAATCTCACCAAGATCATTACCCTTTTGTATTTAAGAGCCTCAAGTTTGTATTGTTTAAAAAGTTCCCTCTAAGCACTCCACAAATAAATTTGAAATATGTAACATTTATTATTAGCAGGTGACTAGGAAAGCCCATTAATATAGCACATGTCTGTTAATTAACTATAATTATGATGCAGGCTTTCTATTTGGCACAGATTCAACAAAAACACGATCATCATAACTCAGATGAATGAGATACCCAAGTAAGTATTGCTAACCAGTTTAATGGAAATCTACAAGCATCAAAAAATCAATTAGTGCACATTAATCCTAATTAACAAATGAAAATTAGATGCTGATTAACTTTCTGAAGCAAGAAGGTAGCAACTGGATAACACCAGATTACATGTGAACATGTTAGGGCAATTCAGATGACACAAGATAATTCTACTGTTGGCCCAAACTGCCAGTTAATAAATCCCGCCTGGTCACTTTGGATTTAATATTTAAAAGTCAAAACTGTATGCCCAGCCAGTGTGGCTCAGAGGTTGATAAACTGTTGCCATCTGTGGAATCTAGACATTTGTAACCAAACTTTAAGCTGTAATAAACGTCTAATAATATATCTAACTAAAACTATACATTCAAGATGTTTTCCGCAAAGCATCTTTTACAAACAAATTTCTAATAAAAGACTGCTAATTTGCATGGATGTTAAAGAAACAAAAGGCAAAACAAAATTTGATTTACAGGAATACTATGTTTCTCCTGTTACAGAGAACAAACACTAAAGATCTTTCTCAAGAAAATTTCTTAGTATTCCCAGTTCTGTGGGCATACATAATCCCTTTTAATGTTAAAATAATAAGAACTCCTCAAATTTCTAAGGTATAATTTAAAATACTCTTAAAATGAAAATCTACTGCTATAGTTATAAGCTTACCATAAATCAAAAAACATATCAAAGGAATGAAAATTATTTCTAAAATAAATTATGTAAAACCATTATATGTCATACAAGGGGGAATCTATGTTTAAAAACATTTCAAATTGATGTTTAAAGTCACTACATCAAAAGATATCACCAAACCTAAAGCCTTTAGGACTTCTGCTCTCAAGAGCAAGCTATTAAGCCAGTGAAGTATGAGTTGAAGACTTGTTAGGAAGCTGTGCTTTATTTCATGAAAAGTAGAACATCACCTTCAAGGAAGTCATAGTGTTGTGTCATTTCTATTTTAAAGTTATAAAAAAAAAATCTAATTTTATGGAAACATTTATTCATTACTAATATGTCAAAACCTTAATGC